CCCCAAGTGCAATGGCACCCACAGTTGCCCTCCCATGGGCGATGGCGTTCCCAGGAGCCCTTACAGGGGCGGTGATTCCCCCCAGGGGGCCTAGCAGGGGTGGTGGCGATCCCAGGGGTTATATCCAGGGATGGTGGTACTTCCAGGGGTCTTCATAAGGGTGTCGGCGCCCCCAGGGACCCTCTCTATGGCGGCAGCAGCCTCAGGGGACCTCCCAGGTGCGACTACGCCCAGAGGGACGCTCATAGAGTCAGCAGCAACCCTAGGGGCCCTCGCAGGCAAGTCGCCGACCCATGGGGCCGTGCCAGGGGCTGTAGCGCCCCCAGTGACCCTCTCAGGGATGGTGGCAACCTCAGGGGCACTGCCAGGAGCGGTGGCGCCCCTAGGGGCCCACACAACGGCGGCGGCACTCCTAGGGGCCCTCCCAGGTGTGGCTGCGCCCACAGAGGCCCTCCCAGGGGTGGCGCTGCCCCAGGGGCTTGGTTTTGGTATCGTACATAATGCATGCATCCAGCAAGCCCTTACTCAACTGTGATTGGTGGATTAAAATATAAATCTACCAAATTCCAGCCAATAGGAGAACAGAGCAGTCAGTCAGCACAATACCCCAACTTATGTTTTCCTGTTGGATATTTAGTCTACTTTTCATTGTTCAGAATGCGATAATACTGAAAATGTGATGGGCGTTGTACTTATTTAATGTAATATTTCTCAGAGTTCTAAATAGCAGGGGTGGCAGTGCCCCCAGGATCTTGATTTTGGTATCATACATAATGCATGCATCCAGCAATCCCTTACTTAACTTTGATTGGTGGAGTAAAATGTATATCCACCAAATTACAGCCAATAGGAGAACAGAGCAGTCAGTTAGCACAACACCCCAACTTATGTTTTCCTGTTGGATATTTAGTCTCCTTTACATTGTTTAGGATGCGATGATACTGAAAATGTGGTGGGCGTTGCACTTATTTAATGTAATATTTCTCAGAGTTCTAAATAGCAGGGGTGGCAGTGCCCCCAGGATCTTCATTTTGGTATCATACATAATGCATGCATCCAGCAAGCCCTTACTTAACTTTGATTGGTGGAGTAAAATATAAATCTACCAAATTCCAGCCAATAGGAGAACAGAGCAGTCAGTCAGCACAACACCCCAACTTATGTTTTCCTGTTGGATATTTAGTCTACTTTTCATTGTTCAGAATGCGATAATACTGAAAATGTGATGGGCGTTGTACTTATTTAATGTAATATTTCTCAGAGTTATAAATAGCAGGGGTGGCAGTGCCCCCAGGATCTTGATTTTGGTATCATACATAATGCATGCATCCAGCAATCCCTTACTTAACTTTGATTGGTGGAGTAAAATGTATATCCACCAAATTACAGCCAATAGGAGAACAGAGCAGTCAGTTAGCACAACACCCCAACTTATGTTTTCCTGTTGGATATTTAGTCTCCTTTACATTGTTAAGGATGCGATGATACTGAAAATGTGGTGGGCGTTGCACTTATTTAATGTAATATTTCTCAGAGTTCTAAATAGCAGGGGTGGCAGTGCCCCCAGGATCTTCATTTTGGTATCATACATAATGCATGCATCCAGCAAGCCCTTACTTAACTTTGATTGGTGGAGTAAAATATAAATCTACCAAATTCCAGCCAATAGGAGAACAGAGCAGTCAGTCAGCACAACACCCCAACTTATGTTTTCCTGTTGGATATTTAGTCTACTTTTCATTGTTCAGAATGCGATAATACTGAAAATGTGATGGGCGTTGTACTTATTTAATGTAATATTTCTCAGAGTTATAAATAGCAGGGGTGGCAGTGCCCCCAGGATCTTGATTTTGGTATCATACATAATGCATGCATCCAGCAAGCCCTTACATAACTGTGATTGGTGAAGTAAAATGAAAATCCACCAAATTACAGCCAATAGGAGAACAGAGCAGTCAATCAGCACAACACCCCAACTTATGTTTTCCTGTTGGATATTTATTCTCCTTTTCATTTTTCAGGATGTGATGATACTGGAAATGTGATGGGCGGTGTGTATAAATTTAATTTCATATCTCTCAGAGTTCTAAATAGTGCAAAAACAACTGCCCCAAGGGGATCTCCCAGGGGCGACAGTGCCCTAGGAGCCCTCCCAGGAGCAGCGATGCCCACAGGGGTCCTAAGAAGAGTGTCGGTGCCCCCACCGGCCCTCCTTACGGGTGGCAGTGACCCCAAGCGCGATGGCACCCACAGTTGCCCTCCCAGGAGCCCTTACAGGGGCGGTGATTCCCCCCAGGGGGCCTAGCAGGGGCGGTGGCGCCCCCAGGGGTTTATCCAGGGATGGTGGCACTTCCAGGGGCGTTCGTAAGGGTGTCGGCGCCCCCTGGGAACCCTCTCTGTGGCGGCGGTAGCCTCAGGGGACCTCCCAGGTGCGACTACGCCCAGAGGGACGCTCATAGGGTCGACAGCGACCCTAGGGGCCCTCCCCGGCATGTCGCCGACCCATGGGGCCGTGCCAGGGGCTGTAGTGACCCTCTCAGGGATGGTGGCAACCTCAGGGGCACTGCCAGTGGCGGTGGCGCCCCTAGGGCCCCACACAACGGTGGCGGCACTCTTCGAGGCCCTCCCAGGTGTGGCAGCGCCCCCAGAGGCCTTCCCTGGGGTGGCTTTGCCCCAGGGGCTTGGTTTTGGTATCATACATAATGCGTGCGTCCATCAATCCCTTACTTAACTGTGATTGGTGGACTAAGATGTAAATCCACCAAATTACAGCCAATAGGAGAACAGAGCAGTCAGTCGGCACAACACCCCAACTTATGTTTTCCTGTTGGATATTTAATCTCCTTTTCATTGTTCAGGATGTGATGATACTGGAAATGTAATGGGCGTTGTACTTATTTAACGTCATATCTCTCAGCGTTAAAAAAATTGCAAAAACATCTGCCCCAAGAGGACCTCCAAGGGGCGACGGTTCCCCAGAGGCAACGGTTCCTTCAGGGGCTCTTGTTAAGGTCACTGGCGCCCCCAGTGGCCCTTGTCAGAGGCAATGGCGCCCCCAGGGGAAATCCCAGTGACCCTCTTTAGAGGCAGCACCGCAACGGACCTCCCAGAGGTGGTGGCACCCCCATGGGCCCTTCCAATGGCGGCTTCTCCCTCAGGGACCCTTCCTGGGGCAGCGGCGTCCACCGATGTCCCCCCAGAGTCAGCAGGGCCCCCATGGGCCTTTTCTGGGGCAGTGAAACCCGAAGGGGCCCTGCTAGGGACTGTGGCGCCCCCAGAGGCCCTTCCAGAGGCGGTGGCACCCCCAGGTGGACTTTCTTAAGTCAGCAGTGCCCCCCATTAGCCCTCCCTGGGACAGTGAAGCCTCAAGGGACCCTGCCAGGGGTCCTTCCAAAGGCGGTGGCGCCCCCAGGGGCCCTCACAAGGGCGGCAGCACCCTCAGAGGTCTTCCTTAGGGGTGGTGGCAACCCCAGGGACCCTCCCAGGGGCGGCTGCACCCCCAAGGGCCCTCCCAGATGCAGTGGCACCCAAAGGGGCCCTCACAGGGGTGGCATCACTCCTAGGGGGCCCTCCCAAGAGTGGCACCCCAAGAGGCCCTACAAGGGGCAGGGGCGACCCCTGGGGCCTTGCTAGGGGCAGTGGCGCCCCTAGGGGCCCTTCCAGGGGCAACGGCACCTCCAACAAGCCCTCCCTGAGGCGGTGGCATGCCCAGTGGCCCCGCCAGGGGCGGCAGCACCCGCAAGGGCCCTCCCAGGGACGGAGGTTCCCCCGGGGCCTTTGATTTCGATTATTAGGTCCACATTTTGATTGCGGGGAAATTAGTGGTTGTAATGACGCTTGGAAAATTATTGACATATTTCAATGCTAATTACTCGCCAACTATGGGTTTCCAAAGTGCGATTTTGGTGTTAATGTGTTATTCTGTAAGTAGAGCTGTTCTTTAGACGTTGCCCTAACCTTAGCCATCCTTTCCTGACCTAAGCTAAGACTTTTGCTGTTGTGGAAAAACTCATGACATTAAATTTCACTTTTCGGTTATTAGACAAGTTCAAATTGCATTGTGGTCGTCTTTTCACTCAGCATGCAATTCGTGGTTTGAGCGTAACATCTTCCCTGATTTATCTATTTTTTAGGGAGCTGGTGTTGCACTGGGTTTTTAAGAGTCTGAGCTTAAGCAGACTTTAGTTTAACAAATTTATTGGCAAAGCTTGTATTACAGTTTGCCTATTCTGAGTAATTCAGTCAGGTCTTGATACTGACTGAATGTCATGGTCCTCTAAGGCGACAGAACTAATCCCTACAGTCACCTCAACCACTTGGAACTACATGTATGACCAGACAGCTGCTTCCATGGATCGATTTACAGCCAATATATTCTTCAGTGGCATATATAGGGGGGGGGGGTGTGGCAATCACCCCCTTATATTACAGCCACATTTGCATTATTCATAACCATTTGTATCACAAATTATTCAGATAAGTCGATTTGTTAACAAGAACAAATATGTTGGCTAAAGAGCATACTATTTGTTTTATACAGTACGGGAGACTACTACAGCTGCATTTATTTTTTAATGTTTCAAGACATAGAGTAACTAAATGATAAGTTACCAAAGGACACTATGAGGGTCATACATGTAATGAGTCAAATTCAGTACGACAACAAGAATAAGAATCTCCAGTTGATATTATCTTTGAGTGATCTTAATGTTAAAAATAAGTTACACTGCCAGGAAAGTAATGAAGAAGCACCAAGACTGGCAAAAACTGCAAGGGAATAATTGCAGAAATGTTAATGGGCAAAGGTGAATAGAGCCAGGAGAAAACAGAGACTGGGATGGATGAGTAAAATTAAAAACCGAGTCCCCAGAGAGATGCAATATATCATTAGATTTTTTCCAAACATCCCTAAGACATTTAGAGTGGAGGGCTGTGGTCATCAGCTCTCAGATTTGAGGTTGTTTCTTTGATTTATTGACACCCGTCTGGTTTTCCTATAGAGGCGTCTAGTATCAGCATGGCCGAGGCAGGTCCAGCTGACGACGACTTTGAGGATTTTGACGATGATTCCAATTTCTGGGATGACTGTGACGAATACTATGAGCCAGAGACACTCAATGATGAGGTAAATACTCATGTGTTCTGTTGGGGGAAATATATCTACACCTGTTCTGGTTAACTAAAAAAAAAGAAAAAATTGTTTTTGCTGTAACAGTATTTTGAAGATAATAAGTGTTTATTATTATTATTTTTTCAAATGGGCAGCGACAACGAGAACAACAATTGACACAGGAAGACTGGGAACAACATTGCAAGGAACAACTGACACAGGAAGAATGGGAACAACAGCTGCCACAACACCACCGGCGGAGGGAGAGGGTGGCAGAGTTGGTGGAGACGGAACGCAATTATATCAAAGACCTGGAAACACTCTTGGAAGTCAGTGCTCTTGCCTCCTCCAGGAACCACGTGCTCAAGGCCATCGACTTGCATACTGTCCTTGGTAACATTTCACAAGTAAGATTTAAGTGCAACATATCAAAGGCATTGACAACACTACAAAGAGCTTGTTGTTGAAAATGACAACATCGACTCTTATCAAGCTAGCTTACCAATAAACCACACCTCATTTTTATTTACCCACACCACACCTCCCCTCTCTCCTGTTAACTTGGTAACCATTCTGAGTCAAGTTCACTAGTTGTATAATCTGCTGTCTTTATGCAGTGCAGAGCAGTGCAGTGCAGTGCAGTACAGTGCAGTAAAGTACAGTACAGTACAGTACAGTACAGTACAGTACAGTACAGTGCAGAACAGTGCAGTACAGTACACTACAGTACACTACATTACAGTGCAGTACAATACAGTACAGTGCAGTGTAATACAGTACAGTGCAGCACAGTGCAATACAGTACAGTACAGTACAGTGCAGTACAGTGCAGTGCAGTACAGTGCAGTGCAGTACACTACAGCACAGCACAGCACAGTACAGAACAGTGCAGTGCAGCACAGTACAGTACAGTGCAGAACAGTACAGTATTGAAGAGTACAGTAGAGTACAGTACAGTATATATGATATAGTTTTATGCACAATCGAGTATGTTTAAGTACTGCCATCAGCTTCATTAGTGTCGGTTCCATTGGTTTACATAGTAAATACCTGTATCTGTAGTCAAAATTTTTAAGAAAATTTATATAAAGGTGATTTAAAACTAATGGGCACAGCCTAATTGATTTTTTTAATTGTTCTAATTACAGTATCTTCAATTATTTCAAATCTTATAAATTAACAATAATTATTCAAATTTTTAAATTGTAAACACAGATCATTAATCAGCACGTAAAGTGCTGCAGTGCCTTTGTATGAAATTTGAAAAAAAAAAATCCATGGTATGACCCCCAGTGCCAAAATGCAAGGTACAGTAATTGATGTCAGTTTTATATACTGTACAGTACAATATAGCTATATTTTTATTATTATTTTTCTCTTTTTTTTAAAAGGGATTAAATAGCACAAATCAAGAGTGAGAAACGATATATATGTTGCGTTGTCAAAATAAGAGAAACAATTGAGACCCTGCAATTGTGTGTAAAGGAAGCAGATAGTCAGATCAGCAACCTGGGACTTGGTCACAATTTTTGTTATGCCATATGGCAGCAGGGTCTACCATTAGACAATACATTATGCCTCCAATATCTACCCGGGCAGTAGTACCTTCCTGTCTGGTAGCTGCCTACTCTCATAAATATTACCATCAGGTCCATGCCACCATCAATTTACTTTTTGCCTTACCTCCCAGCCCAAAACAAAATAATTCATCTCATTAACATTTAGCTTCATTTATTTAACTCAGAAAAATTCCCTGCAGGTGCTGGACATGAACAAGCGGCTGTTGAACAAGCTGGAACAAGAACAGCAGCATAGTGATGAAGACATGTTGATTGGGTGGGTGTTCCTGCAGTTCAAGTCAGAGCTGTGTCAGGTCTATAAGGTGTACTGCTCCACTTACAGTGTTGAGGTCCTCCCTCTACTGAAAAAGGTAAATAACAGTGAATTACCATTTTAGTTTACTGAATTCAGTTTTAGTTATGATAACCTGTAACTCCTTATAATGTCACCTGGCCAGATCAGTGTACCTACGAGGCTACTTGAGGTATCACACATTTCATTATTTACAGTTTTAATCAAAATCTCTTATTTTGCTAAAGCTCACAAGTATATGTTTCTTTTTTTTATTCAATGGGAGACTTGGGGGAAGTGATAATCCACAACTATGACATGCTCCCTTAAAGCTAAGATGAAAAATATAAGAATTGATAATAAGGAAGAAGTCCAAGTGTAGGAAAATCAAGATAATTTATGAGAGAATTAATTGGATAAGTAAAGGCTATAAGCTAATTGAACACAGAAAAAACTTGTTTCTGAATTTTAATGAGGAGGAACAAAGACTGATGCATACCTTTGTTCTGTTAGTCCATAGACTATATTGATAGAACACACAGGACAAGCAGAAGCCTAAAAAGTTAGTCGAGGAGTGACCAGACTATTGGGACCAACACTGAACAGTCCTGTAGATGAGTTACCGAGTAGTACCATCAAAGTAAAACTAAAATAAGACAAGGGAAAATATGCTGATGGGTCAGGGTTTAAAGGCTGCAAATGAGCAAGCTTTTATTGAGTCTAATAGCTTCGAATTAGAGGTGGACTGTGATATAAAATATCAGAAGACGATTCTCAAGTGTACAATATTTTTGTTTAAGCTCCGGATTTATCAAACTGGAGCATAATGAAACAAATCTGAAATTAAGATAATACAGGTAGGACCTCGTTAAACTGGGAAGCTTGCAACCAGACAGGGTCCAGAATAGCGAAAATTACGATCTATCAAAGCCGAGGATAAAAAAAGGCAAAACAATGCATAAAATGTACTATTGCTGGTACCAATACAACTAACAATAACATAAATTTAGCCCACACTTACTGAACCTCTTTATGACAAAGTATTAGTGCAATGGCAAGTTTACTGTGATACAGAAATAAGTAGATTAGCAGAAAAAGCAATGAGAAAATTGTATATTATAGGCCTACTGATACATGTACCTGTAAAACATTATCATCCAGAATCATCAAAACTGCTGGACTATCGGATCCCGGATTAACGAGGTCCAACCTGTATGTTAAAAGATTTGGGACTATCACTTGGCTAAGGCAGATAACAAAGGCAGATAACAAAGTGAAAGCTTCAGCCCTTCATTTACAACACCAATATAATTCTTATCTTTACAGGGAATGTGAAGCATACAATACAGGGTGGCTAGCTATACCAGTCTACCCAACATGATTTGCTGCTTATATGTACATTTATTGGCCTCTCACTATTGTTTACTTGGTTCAGTTCCCTAAATAGATGTGAGAAGGAGATGTTTGTGGTACAAGCAGTAATGCTGTATCTCTCACCACCTTGTCGATGGTTTGAGTCCTATTTGGCCCAGACACGTGTGAGAAGGGTGTTATCCAGTGTGACCCTACCAAACATCTCAAGTTTCCCAGACTCCGGTTTCCTCCTGTACTAAAACTGGATAGACCAACCGCCTGAATGGCTAGTAACCGGATAAGCGGTGAAAAGATAAATAATTCTTGTGTGACACAGAAAATGAAGGTCATAACCAAGAATAGAGTGAATGTCTAGCACGCTGATAAGTGGTGGAAAAGAGCAATTAAAAAAGGGTTAAAAAACCTAGTTAATCATCCTAGCTAATAAAAACAAACTAATCATTCTAGGCTAACAGAAATACAATTCAGTATTGTACTCTAAAAGTTAATAGCAACAGGTTAATCATTCCAGCTAATAAAAGTAATGTAATCATCCTAAAGATAATAACAGAAAGTTAACAAAAAAAAAAATCCAAATTCAACTTCCAAAGTAAAATTTTTCACAATACTGTTTCTCATATTTCTATTAAAAGTAACACTAATATGGCTTATCTTATCTTAGTCTGGTGCTTGATAACACCCTCCCTTACTGTGTCATTAAACGATCATATAAGACCCTTATGATTTATGGTACAATTCAATGATATGCCCAGATAAGGTTAATGTTACAGCTTTGAACCAAAGTTTTTTTTTAATCTGTCAATGATTAAAACCTAATCAAACATACTAACCTAACCAGAGTTAATCTCACTTAACTTGACTTATCCTAACCTACCTAACATAACCTAACCTATCATATCTCTGAATCTAACCTAACTCCTTTAACTCAAGTATCTGCCTGCAATATTAGTATCCAATTCAGGTTCGGGACAAGAAAGAACATGGCCCAATTAGTGAAAGAAACTGCAGGAGAATGAATGAACAGGAAAGCAGGTGTTTGAAGCAGTTACCAAAGCATGCGAGTGTTTTTCATTATTTTTAGTTAGTTACCAAGCTGATAACAAAGAGCCTAGTGATGAGACAACTGTTGTTCTTGGTCCGTTAGTATGAGGAGTCAGAGGTAGCAGAGGTGGAGCTGGCGTGGATAGCTGGGGAGCTTAAGAGTCACTCCAAACATCTCCTCTCCCTCAACACTGTCCTCATCAAGCCTGTACAGCGCATCCTCAAGTGAGTCACAACCCCTTGTGTAGGCAGGAAGGATGGGAGGGAGAGAGGGAGAGAGGGAGAGAGGGAGAGAGGGAGAGAGGGAGAGAGAGAGAGGGAGGGAGGAGGGAGGAGGAGGGAGGGAGGGAGGGAGGGAGGGAAGAACACTTATAAGGGATGGTGGAAAGTGATGGGAGAAACGGGGGATGAAGGTAAAAGCTGGAAAAAGAAGAGAAGAGGGAGAAGGGTGGGATAAAGATGATAAGAGGGCAAAATATTATCTATCTTTTGTGGCTTCTCGATTTGGTGGAAGCTGGGGGAGAAGACAGTATCTCACACGCATGCACGCATGCACACACACACACTCACACACACACACACACACATGGGACATATGGGCAGACTAACACGAGACACCTCACCACATTTTATCTAAACTGGCATAATCTACTTTCAACATTTGACTTTTCACTTCAGCCCAAAATGTCAAATGAAGGTAAAATTATATAGAAGTACAGTAATATAACTTCCTTGCTCTGCCACTGTCTAAATTCTTAAATAACAGTACTGTACTGTACTGTACTGTACATTAGTAAAGAGAGTTCTGTCTAAAACACTTAGCATCCTAAAGGAGCATTGCCTTCCTCCTCTTTTATTATATAACTTGGTCTTATTGACAGTTAAAATACCTTTGTGTCATTCTAATTACTGTTCACAGGTACCATCTGTACCTGAAGGAGTTGGTGCATGATACCGTCACTACACACCAGGACTACCTCGACCTACAGATGGCCCTGTACTGCCTCCAAGCAGATGCCAAGGAGTTGAATGAATATACCCGTGGCCTAGGCCTTGGTAAGTACATCTAATTACCCAGCCATAAATATTCAGTCCCAATACTGTAAGTTACAATTTATTCTAAAGATACAGAAGTTAAATTCCTGAAAGAGTTCATGTAATGAAACCGAATCAAGCACACCGCCCTGCCCATAGCCTATCTTTCACATGGCTCAGGTAAACTTTGCGAGGCTGGACAAATAATTTAAAACTGGGAATGGCACCAACTTCTCCCACCGAGTTCGGTGGAAATTGGTAACAACATTTATCTAATTCTCTATTATAATTGTGTTTCAATCAGGGGATAGAGGTAATTTAATTTCATTTGTTTGGACTTCTAGTGAAGGCAGTACACAGCCTATATAATGTTTAGCACAATTCCTAAATGACAACCCCAACCTTATCTTCACTATTATAATGTACAATTTCTCTAATCCAACCTAACCTGTTTGTACTGTCAAGCAACGTGTGAGCCACATTTTAAACTGTCTTCAGTAAACATGCACATGGACCTTTGTCCTTATGGTTTTAAGACTAGCATATATAATACAGTAAAAGTTAACACATGCACATCTGGTGTACACCCCAGTTTCTGTTTTATATGAAACTATTAAAAAATTTTAATATTATTTTCTTTGCTAGGTAGTAGGTCAGCTGCCTTGAATGGGCCTAAATCCGGTGTCTGCTTACTTAAAAACACAAATACAGTATTTTCTCACATCTCACAATGATATAGCATTGCCAAGTTGATATACCACAACCCTTGTCGTGAGAACCCACTCACTGAGTCATCTGTCTATCAATTTGACGTCATTTCCACCTAAGAGGGGTGGAGTGCAGCCCTTTATTTCTGCCTTCAATACAAAGTATGCATTTTATATTTATGTACTCTTGAAAAAAATCATGCATCAATTATGTGTGGCATGTTACAGTACACAAGTACCGGAGTGATGTCGACGACTCCCTCCATGGCAAGATACGACGCGTCAACCTTCATTCAATCGCCAAGAAGTCTGCGAGGATGTCTACCATACTCTCCCAGAAGCTGGGTATCATCGGTCAGGTATGAGATGGTGGGAAAGTGGAGTGGTTGAACCTGAGGGTTGGTGATAAATACATAGAGGAGGACACAGTGTTGTCACTATGTAAATAATTCACTCACAGATTATCAAAAGTTTAAATATCCTGTCAGTTGATATTAAGATTAAATAATGGATATTAATATACAAAATGATTGATAAGGTCAATCAATAAATACCTCAGCCCAGTCAGTGAACATTGCAATCTAATCCATAACATTAAATGTTAAATGCTTCATATGCAATTTTTTTATTTAAAAACTGCTTCCTTCCCTCACCCTATAAGACCACAAACACAAACTTTGACAAGATGGTAACGAAGTTTCGAAGTGTTCAATGGGCTGCTGGGGCGCTAGTAACCCATACAGAATCACTGCTGGAGGCGGTACGCACCAGACACACGGCCGAATTGATCATCTCCGAGAGCCTGGCCGACCTCCTACCACCAGCACTCCATATCCAAGTCATCAGGGAAGTCACTTTAGACTCCTGCAATAGGATCCTCCAAATGTTTGTAGGTACTCCCACGTTCTTGAATTTCATAGTCAGTATTATCATACCTGCACTTTGCTACCCAGAGCACAGCATATGCACTGTACTAGCCATAATAATGACTAAATTACCAGGCAAAATCATAACAGTACACCAGAGTAAATTCCATCAAGTAAAAATTACCCTGGATGAAATCCCTTAACAAATTAAGTGGATAAAATCTAACCAAAAGTTTCTTGAAGACACAACACAATGTTAGAGTAAGTGGGCTTTTGTTCTGTAATGCTCATCACATATTTGGAGACTTTCATCTCAAAGTAGTATCCACACCTCGTCACTTGATTATCTACTGAACAACTCTGGAAACACTGACACATGAACAAACTAATGAAGTACAGTACAGTACTGTATACAGTTGAATGACTAATGTAACATGATGTGTTTTTACTTTATTTACTTTATTTATTTATACTTATTTAGTTTTCCTGCTCATTCTCTAATTAGATGACTCATATTCTCTTCATTCTTCCTTTTCTTTTATCTATGTTATACTTTCATCTTATTTCTTTCTTTACATTAATATCATTTAGTTACGTGTACTCGTCCATCTATTACTGGGAACACTTTGTTGTTAACACATTAGTTAGGGGAAATTTAATGAGATATTTACATTTCTTAAATTAATCAAACAAAAGAAATATGAGGTTATATGTCTTATCCCTATTTCTAACTAAATACAGTACCGGTACAGTGTGGGTGGGGAGCTTCACTTTATACCCGTACCATTAAAGAGAAATTTCACTTATATAGCTTACTATGCCCATAACTGCTGTTTTCACCCATAACATTCCCCAACCACACCACACCACACACCAAGCTAAATTGACTGTACATAAGTAACATTTCTTATAGCTGTGAGGAGTTTTTTCTGAGTGTCCAATGTGGGCATAATCAGTCACTTCTATAGGGGTGGAGCTAGGTCATGGTGTAGCATCTGGTCCCCTTTGAGAAGGTGACAAATGGTTACAAATTGGGGCAATTGTACCTTAACAGGCAGTTGTAAACACACAGGATCCCATCAACTTTCAAGTTTCCTTCATTAACAGCTGGCTATCGTGTATGTGGGCATGCATGTATGGGTGTCCCTTTTATTACACTGAAATCACCATCAGGACTGTGAGGTACAGCAGCGAGTGTTACAGCCGGCAGCACAGGTAGTTATGTTGTGCAAGGCTCCCTCACGACTTATCCAGAAGCGACACAACAAGAAACTTGACTACGATGCTGCCCAGGCCAAAGAACAGCTGGACAGGGACATTAACACCGCTGCCTCCGTGAGTCATTTGTGTACTGTACTGGCATGGCTCTAGTTGTTCATATGAATTAAAACAATAATGACTACTGTATCAGTCTTAATACTGTATATGTTTATCATAAGCATGAGCCGTCAGTGTACTAGTATTATTAAAGTTTGATAAAGACACATAGTTCATGTGTGTAAAACAGCAGAACTTTCATTGCTCATCAATCAATATTCCCTGTGAGTTGTTAATTATCTTACAAGAGAGTAAGGGTGAATTAATATCTCACTGATAGTAAGTCATGTAAATTAGTATTCCCAAAAGTGAGAAATAAAAGTTACATTTACCTGTTCAGGAAGATGAGGATATGGAGGTGAAGGGAGCCTACATGTCCCTCAATAGCCTGCTGACTGCGGAGTTACCAGTCCTCACCCAACATGCTGCAGAGATGCTCACACTGGCCATCCGCTCCCTAGCTGCCTCCCGCCTCTACCTCCAAGGCCACCTGGCCAAGGTTTACCTGAAACTGGCACAGGTGAATTTTAATTTGGTCTTCTTCAAGGATCTGTTGTCCACAATTTGATATCTGTATAATTACTTGCCCAAATGACATCTCAATAATTTTAATTACTGTTCTTTTCTAATCCTAATTTCTTTTCTAATGCTAATTATTTGCTACCTATGGTTTTTCAAGGTACTGTAGGTAATTAAGATTATTGAGATGTCACTTGGTCAGAAATTATACAGATATTAATTTGCAGATAACAGATCCTTAACTGATGTCAAGCAACCTCAGCCATACAAATCTTAGGTTAGTTCCTCCTGCAGCTTCAAGATATAGCATCTCAGATCTTTTTACTCAGAAAGGCAAAATTCTTGTCAGTTTTTTTTTATCTAGTGGGAAGCCGTGTCAATTGTTATTTGTAACGTGTTTCTCATGTGTCCTTAACCTAGTCCAATAAACCATTAATAAAAATTTTCAGGCTTTTGTTATAATGTTATTACTGTGCTTCAACAACAAAGGTCTTTTAGCATGTAACAAGGTTAGTAATACGTTAGGCCTTCCTTGTCAGTTTCACTTTAGGAGCCCTGACTGAAGATGCGACTATATCCATATCTTGACCCTTCACACCATGATCCTAACTGATGCCTTGACACCCTCCTTTCCCCAGGTGCCACTACTAGAGTACATTGACCCAATGGAGGCACAGGAGAGGGCGCAGCAGCAGGTGGAACAACTTCGTCGACTCCTGCCTCATGACTACCAGAAGAAGTACATGGCGAAGGAACACATCCTCACCAAAACAACTGACACCTTGACACTGAAGACAGAGAAAGTTACTAAACTCACTGTAATTGCCACTTTATTTATGTTTAACGCTTTAGTGGACAGGGGCTCCCCTCAGCAGAATAAAATCACCTGGCATTAGTCAGAAAAAAATACCTAAGTGATACTTTGCCCTTTAAAGGGTTAAAACTAACAAATAAAATATTTTAGTGATTGTTTCCTTATATATCGGAATCTAATACAGAATATAAAAATCATAAGACTATTATCGACATATTTACAGCAACAGAAAGAGAATCCCATCAGCCTTTACATCCTAATATAGTGACTTCCTTCTCTGTCCACCTGCAGAAGCCAAAGTTGTCTCCACATATGTCCAGGGCAAATACACCCCTGCAGCTGAGTCTCAGTTCCCCAGGACAGTATTGTAGCAATACCATAGCCACTCTTCCCAAAGGGCGCAGGAGTGATCCAACAGGCACCAAGGGCACTCTCAAGGTACTGTACAGGAAGGCTCTGCTGCCTACTTTTGTAATTATGAGCAAAATCTCACCATATAACTTCTTTGGACAAAATATTAACACTAAAGAAATAAAGTGGACAAAATCATACCATCTTCCTGAGGTAATTATCTTCATCACTCAGGATGTGTCATCTTTTGACGATTTAAGTAATTGAACTTGCTCATTTGACTTTCAAATGCTTAACATTTTGTCCTTTAAAAATCCCATCTTCTATTTAATTTTTTATAAATTAAACATTGTACAGTATGTCCAATAGTGGATAAATATTTTTAAAAGGCATGGTTGTAAACATAATAAACCTTTCTAATGCTCCAACATGGAACTGTTGATAAATTATAATAATAACTACACATAATTGTAATGAGTGGATAAAATTATATCGGCCCATAGTTTCCAATATCATACTTTACAGTTATACAGTGACCCCTCGTTTAACGAACGCCTCGGTCTTCAATTCGGTTAACGAACAAAAATTCGGTTAACGAATTTCTTACGAACCGACCTCAACATGTTTTCGCTTGCACTGACCAGGCAACCAGCTTTAGTGTCAGTCCGCCAATACATTAATCGGTTCTAGGGCTTAAATTCCTTACTATTTTAGTAAATATCAAGAAGTTTATACTATTCAATAATTTTAAAAGTTTAATATTCAATTTTTTAGTCATTTTAACAATTATTGAACATAATTGAAGGTAAAGTGACTAGTTTAATGCGTGGCATCCAGCCTCTTAACACAGCAAACAGGCGTTAGTCTCTCTCTGTTTTCACTGGAGGTAACATCTTGCTTGAGACTCTCTTCAACTTAACGCTTTTTTTCTGTATTTCCAAGCAAATTATTGGTCATTTTGAAATATATTTTACATATTGACAATATATAATGCGGTGCAGTGTTGATTTAAAGAAAATAATCTTGAATTACACCAAGAGAGCTAAAATTTTATGGGTGAAATGGCGCCATGGGATGACTTCTCTTCCACCCCAATGCCTTCTCTTCTTCCTTCTCCTCCACCCCCATTCTAAATCCCATCATCATCATCATCATCATCCAGGAGCCTTCTACATACACACCTCAAAGTAAGTGAACCTTTCTACCATTTTTGTTGAATTTAGGAAATTTTCGGTGAGCTGGAACCAATTACCCAAAAACCCATTGAAACAATGGTTTCGGTTAACGAACGACCTTCTGGAACGGATTGAGTTCGTTAACCGAGGGGTCACTGTAGCTGTTATAACAAATTTGATGAGATTTTGTCCTAAAATTATTCATATCACAGATAAAAACATCTTTTGTATATATCTCAAGTCCTTTAATAATTTCTGGGCTCTTGTAGGTGTCCAAAGAACCAAGGAGAGGTAGTCTGCCGGGAGGATACATCAAGAGTGTTGCTGATGCTCTGCGCGGCTCACCTCACACACCGGCCCACACATCACCCACACACGCTCCACAAATCAAGGTAAACCCCATCTCTATTTTTCCTTATTTTTCTCAAAAACACATGATACAAGATTATCTCATTCTACATACAATTATTCTATCTAATGCCCTAACATCATATACAGTAAATGATCTTGCTCCAAACAGTAAATTTTTTATTATTATAAGACAAATAAGTGGTACAGAAGCCTTAGATAGAGTGTACACTCTAGGACTAAAAACGTAGACAGCCATACGGTAACTACACTAGTGGCCTCTGGTAATGAAAATTGATTTTAACTGCAATTGGGGTAATTAATCACATGTGATTTTTAAAGGAGCATTTAATTTAATGTTTATTTTCAAATTTATTAAACTTCTTATATTATTTATATCATATCATAATTTTAACTTTTGATTTTTGTGATTGCCACAGGTAAATGACTTTAGTCCTAGAGTGTAAAGAGTAAAATAAATTACCTTGGCAAGGAGTGATTAACTAACACACACACACACACACACACAAAGCTGCTCATTAATAGATGAAAACTTGTCCCAACTGATATATGTACCTGTATGTACAAAGCTTGACGAAGTGTGGTAATATTGATTTTCATGATATTGGTAATGACAAAAAAAAAATATGGGCTTGGCTACTGCTATATTTGTTTGTTAGGAAATAATTTAAATCACTATACGTACTCTTACATCCTCTGTGTTATACAGATAGAGAGGGATCTCTTAGGCAGCTACCCAGAGGAAAATCTGTACATGGTGACGGAAGAGTATACGGCGGCCAAGAAGGACGAGGTGTCCCTCCTTCAGGGGGCTGTGGTGGCCGTCCTCAAGAAGATGGACCCGATGGGTGACCCCACATGCTGGGTGGTCGACAATGGAGGTGGGTGAGGAAGAGGAGAGTAATGAGAGAACGAGGGGGTGTTGGAGGGGGTGTTGCTTAACTAATGGCTACACACTCAGCATGGAGGAAAATGAAACTTAAATCAGTTGGAATCTGTTGTCTCTTTTTTAGCAGGACCAATAAAAAAATCATGCCTTGTTTAATTCTCTTGACAAAACCTCATACGTTAATCCTTGGACAGTACAGATATACATGAAAATATTGATGATGGAGAAATGATATAATTTAAATAATATCTTATCATTCTAGAGACAGTAGGCCTGGTCAAAGCCTTGTGTCTGAGACAACTAACGAGTGAGAGAGAGTTTACAGCACTGGAACCTGCAGGACTACTCCCCAACACTTCCTCAATCAACACTAACAGCTCAGGGTTCCATCAGCCCCAACTCCAGGCTAAACACTGCCAGCCCCATCCCACCTTTCACTCTCCAGCCCTCAGTCATCAACTTGCCCCTCAAATGGAAGTTTTAAACCCCCATCCCACCCCTGAGTCCCAAATCCTCACCTTCCTCCCTACCTCACAGTCTCAAACTATGGACTCCCACCACCCCTCTCATTTGCCTTTGAAACATAGTCGATATCCAGTGAGTGAACACAACCTGAACACCCTACAGAGTGAAACCCATGAAGCAATAGGACTACACACATTTTATGACTCAGAGGAGCAATGTTCAAACTACAATGCTGAGAGTATTGGTCAGGTAAGTCCATTATGCAAAAGACTTTCATTATTCCAATGACAAATAAGCTTGGGAATTCTATTGGAAAAATTGGCTATCATTATTTCTTTATCAGCCTTTACTGAAAAGAAAATGTCATTCCTAAAATCAAATTTTTTCAAGGTTCTTAAAAGAGTTGGAATAGGGATTATGATATGATCATGCTGATATATTACTCACCCCCATTCACCATGAGATATAACTAACCCAAAAGAACCATACATGATGACAAAACAACTTTACATGACCTGACCACTGACACAATAGAAATTTTTCATCAGAATGAGTAGACAAAAACTCAACAGAAGGCAATAAATAAAAAGGACTAATGAGGGTTGTTGTGTGTAAGTTGTCTGTCTTCATGTGTTCACAGGAGTATGAGGCTTTGTATGACTTCGAGGGAGGTGACGAGACCCAACTTAGCCTCAGTCAGGGTCAACGTGTCCGGGCCATCAACGACGACTTCCCTGACTGGTGGTATGTGAGTGACTCCACTGGCCACGTAGGCTATGTTCCGGCAACCTATCTCCATAACCCGACAGATACCAGCCGAAAAAGCGCTAGTGTACAAAAAACAGCAATAACCCATCAGACATCGACACATAACCTATGCGATCAAACGACTTCAACCAGATTTTAATTAATCTGTCTGTACAGTATACTGTATGCATCTAATCCTGCTAAACATGCTCAACTTTTGCTCAGACTTGTCTGCACAAAGTTTGCATAAACTTAGAACTGTGCTTTTTTTCTCCACACTGTACAGTTATGTTAGCATAAACAGCTTAGTTTTCTCTCAGATTTGAGATTATATTTATTGCAGAGGAAAAGTGGTCTGACAATGGTTTTGCAGAGACACATTTCCTCATGATAATTTATTAGAATAATTATAACTGGAGGATAACGATTAATTTAGCTATCTTCAGATGGACAAATAAAGATATCACTATTGCTTATATTTTTCCATTCTGTCACTGTAGCTATTCTATAATTTTAACTTTTTCAGTGATGGTTAATAAGGTAAACCTTGATGAATTCAGATATGAATTCCTTGGAAGGAACATTTACATAAGTCATTGACATAAAACTTCCATGTCTTTTTAACTTTTACAATACTTCCTAATACAACATGTCCTCGATATATGCTCATTCAGCATGTACGAATTCACTCAGATGCAAGAATCCTATTCCTACCAGGAATCCAATAAATGCGTGCAAAATTCACCCTTATGCGAGTCCACAATTCAAAATACAGTGACCCCTCCGTCAACGAACTCAATCCGTTCCAGAAGGTCGTTCGTTAACCGAAAAGTTCGTTAACCAAAACCATTGTTTCAATGGGTTTTTGGGTAATTGGTTCCAGCTCACCGAAAATTTCCTAAATTCAACAAAAATGGTAGAAAAGTTCACTTACTTTGAGGTGTGTATGTAGAAGGCTCCTGATGATGATGATGATGATGATGGGATTTAGAATGGGGGTGGAGGAGAAGGAAAAAGAGAAGGCATTGGGGTGGAAGAGAAGTCACCCCATGGCGCCATTTCACCCATAAAATTTTAGCTCTCTTGGTGTAATTCAAGATTATTTTCTTTAAATCAACACTGCACTGCATTATATATTGTCAATATGTAAAATATATTTCAAAATGACCAATAATTTGCTTGGAAACACAGAAAAAAAGCGTTTAGTTGAAGAGAGTCTCAAGCAAGATGTTACCTCCAGTGAAAACAGAGAGAGACTAACGCCTGTTTGCTGTGTTAAGAGGCTGGATGCCACGCATTAAACTAGTCACTTTACCTTCAATTATGTTCAATAATTGTTAAAATGACAAAAAAATTGAATATTAAACTTTTAAAATTATTGAATAGTATAAACTTCTTGATATTTACTAAAATAGTAAGGAATTTAAGCCCTAGAACCGATTAATGTATTGGCAGACTGATACTAAAGCTGGTTGCCCGGTCAGTGCAAGCGAAAACATGTTGAGGTCGGTTCGTAAGAACTTCGTTAACCGAATTGAAGATCCTTATGGAAAGCAGTTCGTTAATCGAAATTACGTTAACCGAGGTGTTCGTTAAACGAGGGGTCACTGTATTAAGAATGCAGAAAAAATATCACATTCCCTAATATTGATTCCAACCCTGATGGCTCTGCAGATGTCCCTCCAACACCATCACTCACTATGTAAAACCTCTACCACCACCTCCATCATGTCATCCACCCAAGCTGATGTATAATATCATTTCACAAGTTATCTGTGCTTGTCGAGGATGAAGACCATTTCCAAGAGTTTATCTCTCAACATGGACTAGTTGGCAGGATGTGGAAGTGTTTAAAATGCAGCAGGAAACTGACAGTGAAGAAGAAATACTGTGGTTCAGTGCAGCAACCGATAAATGTAAAATTACACAATGCCGCATCAAGAAAGTTGCTTTCATTCATACCAGGTATCAAAGTAAGTTCTTTCTGCTTAATATGCAGGGAGGTCTGGGGGCAGAGCTCCCTGTTTAGTTAGTTAGATAAGGTTAGGTAGGTTTCATTGGTTAGGTCAGGTTCTGTACATTGTCATTTCCATTTTCGTGTTTATTAACATGTATATAAAATCTTCCAGAAATTTCAGTTCAATTCCATAAGTTATTTTGACTGCTAACTGTGTTCTCCACCTTACCAGTTAATTTTATAATCTAAACTATAAAATGTCACAGTATCGGAAACTTTGGGAGCATCCTAGACACACCGAATGTAGACAAGGTCTACTGAATATTCAACTACAATACAAATGGAAGTAATTATTGGTTATAATGACATTTGTGTCTTTTTACGTGAAAACCTATTTTTCTGGTGTATTTTGGTGTGTTTTCTTCATATATGATCTTCATTTCCATGGGAAATTAGTAGTTTTCAAGGAAATGACAATTTTACATTTTCTCAGTAACTTAAGAGTTCTCATAGAAATGAAGGTCAAATTTGCCAGAGGTTTTATTAAATTCTACTTTTTTCATTATTTACAAAACAGTGACCATCCTAAAAGGTTGAAGGTTAGTTATGATCTTAACAGTATGTAAAAGTTAATAACAAAAGCTACTTCTACGGTTATTGGAAATATGAACGTCAGTAAAACCAATCTTAACCCAAATGAATAGTATACAGTATCTTAGAATAACCAAAACTTATTGTCCAAAAGTACAATAATACTGTACCATAGCTGATGTTCAGTACAAGTTAGTTGTAGAGCAAATCTTGATATTGTTCGTAAAGTTTTATTCTAATGGACCATAACTATTGTTCTAGGTAATACAATAGTTGTTCGATTAAACATTCATTTTTTCCACAGATGTTCTTCGAGTGATAGTAAGTAATAAAACGATATGAAAATTTTTTTATTTTAATTATAAGTATTTTTGTAATTCTTTTTAGTTTTTCTCCACCTATGATCATAAATCTCCTGTAGTGCACAGGTATGAAGGATGAGGCAAATTGCAGGGTAATACCCGAGCGGCTAATGAGCCGATCAGTGGTGAAGAGGATAAAAGTAAAGGTAAAGAAAAGCTGATCATGACACTAAAATGATGTCTTTATATGCGGAGCCCCAGGCTAGGAAGTTAGATAAGGTTAGGTAGGGTCTTTTGGTTGGCTATGTCAGGTTCTACTAGGTTCGCTGCGTAATCGTATCACTTTAATTACTATCACCCAAAGAACATGTGGAAAAAATTAACCAAACCTTGTTTTGGATTAACTTTTATTTGGGTAAGATTTCACTAGTTGCCACCTAAGGAATTTTGACCATTTTATAGCTGCAATTAATAGTTTAGACAATTCTAAGACACTTTTCGTCTCTGACGTTTCTCTCACAAACTACTTAAACCGATCCTCTGGACCCATGGCATACAGTATATAAGTCATGGTTAATATTCATCCATTGGCTGTCTACAGGTTCCCATAATGTTTACCTGAGGTTATACTCCTCCTTACCACCTTCTCCATGTAGGTTAGGTTAGGTAGGTTGGTTGTTTTTTTTTGGGGGGAATGAGAATATACTACAGTATATATATTTTTTTTTGTATTCTTGGCGTGTTTTACTAAAATTTGACCTCAATTTTTGTGCAAATTTGCAGGTCATTTATTTATTTTATTTTTTTGCAAAAACTGCTAATTTGCAAAATAAATAAGTGTCAGATTTGTGTAAAAAAAACCCACGAAAACCGTAAAAAAAAAACAACAAAAAACACCTATTCTCGAACCAAAACCTGAGGACAGCCAAAGGCCTAATATTTACCTAAGTCGTTGACAGTACTGTACTGTATATCGGCAAGTCATTTGCAAAGGAAATGGTAAAATTTTAGTTGTCATTCCTGTACAGCACTTAGACATCCAAACTATGTGACTACCGACAAATGTGAAGGTCTAAATCATTCAAAACACTTAGAGAACACCGGAAAAACATAGTTTGGACATCTTACATAACCTAAATATTATAATCTACGTTAAACACGCGGCATTTAACAAGTTAAATGTCTTGTTAACAAACCCTCTTTAGATGTCCGTCCCAATGTTTGCTTCATTTGGAAAACTTCATCCATAATTCCTGGGTTCTAATATCTTCATTTCTTGAAGCACAAGAGCAGTTGATTTCCATCGTGTGGTATGTAAACTCTAAATGTTTGTAGGTTTATGTAATGATAAAATGATATATATCGTTTGCCACAGCTGGAGTAAAGACTGACACGTCCGTCGAGATTTACTGTTTAAACGGACTGGAGGCGAGGATAATGATCCAGTCCGACACACACGCTTCGCTTCGTTACTTCATCAATCACCTGGAGTCCAGGTGATTGATGAGAATTAATTTTTGTTTATAGTAAACTTTTACTTTTTTCCTCTTCGCCACTGATCGGTTTATGCGGTCGGTCACGTCTCTGTTAGGCACTGTTGACAAGTACTGGGCATGCACTGGCATGCATTAAAGAAAAAGTATTGGTATTTTCTGGTGAAAAGGGGGGTCCGGACCCCCCCCCCCCCTAGATCCGCCCTTACTATACCAGCGGAATTCAGAACAAAACCTTTTTGGGGGATATTAGAAACACAAGTCGATTTTCCAACTTCATTCATATATTGATCTTTTAAATGGTTAGACTATGTTAGGTTAGCGTTAAGAACGACTGGTTTAGAAGTAAAGCAGGTGAAACAAAAATTTGCAGATCAGCACGAGATGTGCTAATTTTTCTGTTCCACTAAAACATTTTATGGGCCAATCACTCGTGGCGCAGCCTCTCTCCGCTCGTTCGACGGTAACTCCATAATTAAAGACGACGAAGGCCTCCTTCAGCGCTCGAAAGAGCACTACCGTTCACTGCTCAATCGAAACACCGACGTGGATGTTCTGACTACCCAACAGGTGCCTCAGCATCCAGAGCTGACCCACCTCAGCTATCCTCCATCCATGGGTGAGGTAGCTACTGCCATCAAACAGATGAAAAATAACAAAGCCTCAGGGCCTGATGGAATCCCAGCCGAGGTGTATAAAGCAGGAGGACCTCTGCTTACCAGCCATCTCCACTCTCTCCTGGAGAATATATAGGAAAAGGAGGAAATCCCTCAAGCTCTTAAAGACGCCTCCATCATCAATATTTATAAGAACAAGGGAGAACAGTCAGACTGTTGCAACTACCGCAGGATCTCGCTGCTGTCCATAGCTGGCAAGATTATCGCCCGTGTCCTCTTAAACAGATTTCTTCCTCCCAGAATCTCAGTGTGGCTTTAGACCTTCACGTGGCACCACTGACATGATCTTTGCTGCCTGTCAAGATACAGGAAAAATGCAGAGAACAGAATCATGGCCTGTACATGGCTTTCATCGACCTAACCAAGGCCTTCGACTCAATCAACAGGGAAGCCTTCTGGTGGACCCTCAGCCGCTTTGGCTGCCCACCAAAATTCATGGCCATTGTGAGACAACTATACGATGGCATGAACGACAGTGTCCTGCACAATGACACCCAATCTGAGTTCTTCCCCATCCAAACAGGGGTTAAACAAGGGTGAGTACTGGCACCAACTTTCTTTTCCATTTTCTTGGCTGCCTTCCTTACTTAGGCCAGCTCAAATTTAGTCAGCGGGGTGGACATCCGGTACTGGATGAAGGGTCTTTTCAACATAAGATGACTCCAGGCAAGAACAAAGGTGTCGGCAGCTTCCATTACTGAACTTCAGTATGCAGACAACCTCACCCTTGTTGCTCATACTGAACGAGACCTACAGGAGATCCTGAACACCTACGCAGAAGCGTAAGCACACTTGAGGTGAATGTACGCAAGACTCAGATTTTCTTTCAGCCTGCCTCTGGTTCAGCCACACCTCCACCATCCATCCAGCTTAATGGTACTACCCTCACTAATGTTACCCGCTTTCGGTATCTTGGCTCTCACCTATCCACCACCGCGGACGTCTTATGAAGAGATTCATTTGTATCAGATGTGCATCTCAAGCCTTTGGCAGACTTCAAAACCTGTAGGGAGCTGAAATTATCTACAAAGTTACACGTATGTTGAGCAGTGGTTCTTCCCACCCTGCTATATGGCAGCGAGACATGGGTCACATATAGGAGGCACCTCAAGGCACTTGAAAACTTTCACCAACGTAGTCTACGTTCCATACTCTGAGTTTGCTGGGAAGACAAGAGAATGAATGCCAGTATTCTTGCTGACACTAACTGTGAAAGCATCAAGGCTACCATTATCCACAAACAACTATGCTGGACTGGCCATGTTACCCGCATGGACGACAGTAGACTGCCAAAGCAGCTACGTTACAGTCACCTAATGAATAGTAAACGTAATGCTGGCGGGCAACTGAAGAGGTATAAGGATAGTCTCAAGACTAACCTGAAAAAGTGTCAAATTGACCCCCTCACATGGGAGACGATTACTCCACACCGTAATGCTTGGAGGAGCACCATTTGAGAAGATGTCAATACTTGCGAGTTAGCCCGACTGCATAATGAGGCAGACAAGCGGCAATGCCGGGAAGACGCTGCCGCCATCTCTCCCGCACTAGATGTAGCCCCCCACATATGCAACTTCTGTGATCAATCCTGCCAGTCCCGTATCGGCCTCTTTAGTCACCTCAGAATTCACCAACCTTGGTGACACCCTTTATAACTCGTATCATTATATCATAGCTGGATGATCATCGTACTCGATTCCGAGTGACAGCAAAGTAGTATTAGTTGTAGTAACCGTCAGGTGAAATAAGTTAGGATACCAAATCTTCAAATAATCCTGACATTTTCTTGAAGTTTAAGAGGAAGAAGATGGAGGTAACTTGAGAAAAACATAACTCCCATTTGTTACATTATAAATTTATTTACTCATACTGTAGTTTGAGCTTAACATACAGCTGATTAGAAAGGAAAAATGTCTCGTTTATAATTTCAAAATGATTTGTGCAAGAATTAATGGGTCTCCAGTACTGGCCCTCAATTTGATTAATGTACAATCTGTCAACTGAAACAAGTGGTCGCCAACGGCCCTTATCCGTCCTAAACACACTATAACATATCACATTTTGGATGATTTACACTCACTATGGAAGATGCTAGTCTGAAAGGTACTTTGGTCCATTATGCTGTACTTACCTGTAATAACTTCTTTTGGCTTATTCAAGACATAACAACCTCATAGAAATTACATTTACAAAAGGTTAAAGACAGAAAAATTACATGAAACAATGTTATGACAGTTGATTTATATCTTAACTCATGTTCAGAGATACATTTATGTCACACATTCAACAGTTTGTACATAAAAAAAAATATTTTTGGTTGACACGGCTGCCCCAGACACGGCATTGCTGAGGCACGTACACAGTTCAGCTCAACAAGTTTACTCTCCATCAACTTGCAAAACGTTCTTGTATTAATCCATATAAGTTTTTTCTCCAACTTTGAAAACCAAGCCACTATAATGCATCAACCAATATACCTAAGTATAGTTTCAGTGCACTAAAACTATTGAATGTATCACAAAATGTTGCCTTTCAGATGGTACATTACTACAAGGTTCATTATCAAACAATTATTTTGAGACCCTCTGAATCATAATAAATATCCAATCTAACATCAGAAAGTGTCTTCTATGACAAGCACAAACATTCCTTAACATTTATTTATTTCGTTTATCTATCATCTATAAAAAAAAACACTACTACTAGATTCTCTCAAGTACAATGATGAAGTAGAATATGATATGAAGAGAGGTAAACCTTACTGCTAAAAATCAGTCACTCTTACCCATACAATAAACCCCTCACTTCACTTAGCACAACTACACAGCAGAATTGTGCAACACTCAGTCTCCAGCTAATGAAGGGGATAAGACAAGAAGGTGTAATATATACTATAATATATACATATTATATATTTTCCTTCCTCTTTTTCAAATACACACGTTTTTGCCCTCAGTGGCTCGTTTGTTTGTGTTTCTACGGTTGTGAGGCATCATGCAATCCAGCAGTCTCGGAACATTAGTGTGGTGGTGGTGGTGTTTATTGTTCCAGACAAGTAAGTACCCCTTTAACCCTCCCTCCACTACATTTTGTGAATTGCTTTTCCCTTCACACTTATAATACTGTACTATTACTAAACACAACACAGCCCTAATGATGTACACTGTCCTCCTTCACCTCAATTACAAAATAACATTTATCCGCTGAATAATTATTTTTTTTTCTTCTAACGAGGGCTGTACCTCTTGACAGATGCAAATTTCCCTACTTCTAGAGAAAAATACTTGTTGCTTCTGTGTACAATAAAAAACTGCAAGATTAAATGCTCACATCAACAAATCATTACAAGTTAAAGATAATAATACTTCAATGACAAGCGAGCCCAAATTTTAGAGGGGTTTCCTGGTTCCTACACTACTTAAAATAATCTCTGAGTTGCATGTTTCATACCTCCTAACATATGTGAATGAATTACCACTAATTTATATGAATCGACAGATCATTTAGTATTACTGATGTGACTGTGGTAACTACCCAACAAAGTGTTATACTGTACGATATACGTAAACTCCACACTTCTCACTGTAAAACAAGAGTGTCTGGTGGTAACTGAAGAGAATATTGCTTGTCTTTCCTATGAAGTTAAAACAACAGTCAAGGACTCTTATGAATGGTTGTGGAAACATATGCTCCCAGGGTTCATGTCCCTTAAATACACATTTGTACATATTCATCGAATATTTACATGGTAGATGATATGTGAAACCAAAGCCATATACCAAGGCAAGTTCTCGACAGTCTATAGTCGTTAATATCATGCTGAAATTTTGGGCTGTACAGTTATTCGGCTTTATTGCTCGGTTTCACACAGCTATGTTAATAGTATCTACACATCTGAAGAAAATGAGGATGAAAGAAGGTTTCTGACATCTTACACAAACACGAGTGGTTGTTGAGGCCCTACGACTTGACAACAAATATATATCTATATACTCTCCAACAAGACAACAACAATTGCAAAACTGCTTCTATACAATACCAAATACTTTTATTTTTTTCTAAGTAATATATTGTCATTTGATGTACAATAAATGCACTTTCTTATATACAACATGTTGTGCATCATTCTCAGCTAATTATTTGATATGATTTTAGTTGCCAGTAAAACAAAGATATAATAAAGTTATCCCCTTCAGGAAGACAACTAAGATAATATATTAACGCTAGGCCAACTTGGTTAATATATCTAACCTTAACAGTATGTAAAAAAAGGATCCAAACGTGTTCACACTTTTTTTTGTGACAACAATTAAAATTAGATGCCATACTAAAAATAATAAAGTTTAAAAAGTGAAATGCATTCTAACTAAAATGCTGCACAACTTACAATAGTCTATAAAATTTAAAACATATTTTTCCTAATAAAATAACAATTCTGTCTTTTCTCTTATACAATAGCTAAAGAGAAGTTTATTGGTATTAACCAATATAATTCTTTTGTTTCTCTTCTAGCACTTAAACAGTATGGAAGTCTCAGACATATAATGTATCAGACACTGTGTGTGTGTGTGTGTGACTGTGTGCCCTCCATAGTAACAATTCTTAACACCTGCTAATAAAAAATCTGAGATTATATATATATATATATATATATATATATATATATATATATATATATATATATATATATATATATATATATATATATATCACCCCCTTGTAAAACACACAAAATTTTACTTGTGGAGGGCATGGAAGATTCTTTCTGAAACCTGCCAACCAACCTTAGGCATTGCACACCTTTTTGGAAGTTGGAACAACCATTCTAAAGAAGAGTTTCATGCTGGGAAGAAGTTAGTTGCGTCCAGCCCTGTGTGGTTGCGTCCCTGGCCGTACCAAGACCCTGAAGGTGTAATGTGGGAGGGCTGGCAGAGCTGGTATACTTTATATCGAGTTGGGAGTTACAGTTCGCCTTTTCTCACATTTTGCTGGACTCGACTGTATCCATAGCTATTTCATTGGAGGGTCGCTCCACATCACCATTAGCATTAATGTTCATTTGCTCCAATTCTTTCTTACTAAGTTCGTACACCAGTCCAGCACCAATACTGTCTCCCAGAACGTTGATCATCGTACGGAATCGGTCACTGAAAAAGAAAAAAAAAATGTTAAGTAACGACGCACTCATTGTACAATAAGAACTAAGATTTAAACATTTCAAAACGACTTCCAGGCACAAAAACCTAGTACAGTACTATATTACATAAAGTACCGATAAACACCAATAGGCACAGTCATCAACGTCAAAGTTCTCAACGGCAGCCAGACAAATACTGTATACATGTTTTTCTGTAAGCAATATCGTACGGAGAAATGTTTCCCAACCAAGAATCTCAGAATTAACTAGATTAAATGTTCGTTTTCCTTTAATTTTGTTATAAATGTATTAACATTATTTTCTCCCATCCGCCAAAATGGGGTCTCGTATTTTTAAATTGAAAATCTGGTAACCCTAAACAAAAGTTTCAACAACCCCAGCCATGTGTAAATTTTCATTCTCCACTCAAAATACTTCTAATGACTAGCTCGTTTAGAAAGACCTTAAATCATTTATCTTTATATTTGTGGTTCTTATCCTGTACCACGGAAAACCACCTCAATGATGCATTCTACCTCCATAACTAGGATTTGCAAAAGGTACCCAGGAAAAGTCACATGTATAAAACAACATGAAGAGTTACATGGAAAAGTGATCAGAAAAAAAATCAAAATTGTGACTAAGAAAAATGCGATAGGTTAGAGACACATTGTTTAATTAGTCCTAATAAGTTAGGTTAGGTTCGTTTTATTCCGGTGACTTTTTTTTCCCCCATCCAGTATTTGATAACACGGTAGCCTGAGACACTAAGCTGGGCCATGTGCTCAACTCCCGGTATTAATCTGGGCACTGTAACACTGTACTCTTTCTTTCTTCTGGGTATTCCAAATTATTGCCCTCCACTCTAATATTCCCATAATAGTCCATCTCTACTATCCATTTTCCATTGCGATATAAGAATACTCACAGCAACCAGTCCACAGCAATGATGAGGGTCATGTCTTCAGCTGGTAGACCAACAACGTCAAGCACCATCACCATGGTGACCAGACCTGCCTGTGGGATACCTGCGGCGCCGATGGCTGCTGCTGTGGCTGTGATGCTGTTGAGAAAAGACAATCTTCAGTCACGACAATAAAACTAAAGGAAATAAAACGAAGAATGTAATGATCATTATAAAAATGGAGGGATACCGAACAAAGGGTTATTTTAATATGATTGCTCTCATAAATTGCACGAGTTGTAAAATATTGTCATTCTGAAAAAAATAAAAGAAAGAAACAATTACGTATAGTGAAACGAAGGCATTGGAACATAATATAAATTAATGAAATAAATTGTGTCTCCTTGTTGGATATTCAGGTGTAAAATTACTAGAAAATAAACGGGATAAGATTGGGGAATGTCTGTCTCTCTCTGACACACACACACACACACACACACACACACACACACACACATGGCTAAGAAATTAGTCTCACAGCATCTTCATACCTGATAGCCACGACCTGGCCAATAGTAAGAGCCATGCCTCTGACTTGTGCGATGAAGATGGCCGCCACAGCTTCGTACAGGGCGGTGCCGTCCATGTTGATAGTGGCGCCGATAGGGATGACAAACCGAGTCACGCGGGGGTCAATTTTGTTTTTTTCCTCAAGGCACTGGAAAGTTACTGGCAGGGTTCCTGAGCTGAGATGTATTTTTTTCAATTAGTGAAACTAATACGGCAATAAAGATCTTTACATCACACTGCTTGATGGGATAAAAAAAAAGCAAGAGGCGGATTCTCAAAAGTAGTATTCTAATTTTCTTGTACATGGTAATGTGATCGGGAATAATTGCATTTGGATTTTACCGAAACTTAGTAGTGAAAAAAATATACGAATACAGTATCTGAGAATCCGCGCCGTGATTTTTTTTTTCCAAACCAAGTCAAAATACTGTTCTGTTAGCCTAATAGATAAACTTTATTTCACTTGTTTCTATCTTTTAACGGACCTTAATAATTTGACAATTATTTTAGTCATTACTGTCATTTAACTGACCTGGAAGCCGTGGCAAAAGCCGTGATGTAAGCTTGAGTCATGTTAGCCAGGAAGCGGAATGGTAGTTTGCGAGTGAAGATTGTATAGAGGGCAGGGAGGACGAGGAAGCCGTGGATGAAGATGCCCAACACCACAGTGCCGAAGTAGAGACCCAGCTGGCCCAACATAACGCTAAAGTCCTCCATCTCGATCATCATGGAGGCCACCAGGAAGAGGATACCAATGGGAGAAATCCTGAAGAAAAAACATCAATTTGAATATGAAAACACTTTCGTAGTTGTTGGAACGCTTAAATACAACAACAACGACTACAAGAATGATAAGCAATACTGTACTGTAATACTATCTCAACATTACTGCATGACAAGAAGTAAGCACATTTCTTAAATGGAGTTGTATGAAGCACAAAGACCACGGAAGAGTAACATTCAAAGAAAAAATCTATAAGAGACTAAGATACGTCATTATAAAGAGTTGTATGAAGCTAAAACACTACTAGAATAGCATCACAATTCGGTACTGTATTCTACCGTTCGTATCAGTCGAAATGGGATGGATGTTAGTATGCGTACTTATATACCTCATGTTGTAATTGTCTAACCTGCTTAGCAAAGAGATAACTCATATGAAGACAATCTGATGAGTAAACACCCTGAAGTCGAATCTAACCCAATGCTAACCTAACCTAACCAATCTAACCTAACACTAACCTAACACTAACCTAACTTGATCCCCAGGAGAAATTTAAAGTGTAGGGACTAATATTCAGGGGATCTGCAGTTACAATCATAGATTTAAAAAAATGCGTTAACTTACCAGATCAACCAAGAGGTGATGACCATAGAAGCGTCAGAGAGGGACTGGAAGAAGCTGAGGAGGGGTTTGCCTTTAGCGCCCAAGGTAGACAAAGCCAGGCCTAGGACGGTGGCGAAGCTGACCAGACCCATAATATTGAGGGCTCGGGAGTGATCGCTACCTATGTCCCACTCAGACTTAGGTGGTACTGTCAGGGTTGTGGAGACAAGACAAATGTTATTATTTACTGTTACTCCTGACCACCACCACATACAAACGATGACCGGATAAAACCCCAACGGACCAAACCCCAGTCTCATATATAAAATAAAACACTTTTATGGTTAGGTTAGGTTAGTGTTGACAAATGACAACCCCCTTAGGGTTTTGTCCTTTGGGGTTTTGTCATGGAACCCATACAAACACGGGTATCAGAAGTCGTAGATTATAGTATTAGGTTATAACTGAGACTATCTATTACAAGTTTATAAAGTACTTCCTGAATATAAGGAACCATTTTCTGTATTTGCAGTTATACTAAAACACTACGATCTGGTGGGTGTGTGTGTGTGTGTGTGTGTGTGCGCGCGCGCGCTTCTGTGTATGCATTTGTATTCACCTGTATGCATTATTATTCGAGTGCGTAAGTAGCCTCGTGTACAGGTAGATGTTTGGTTATAGTATATACAACTACATCAAACTTGACTTTCCTTCCCTAACATTACAATATTCATTCTCTTTTCAGTATATAAACCTTATTTATCATCCTCTACACCAGCGCACCAGTATTTGAATAAACTAACTAAGTCATCTACTGGAACTTGCTGCTGTAGGGAGAAAGGGTGAAATAACCTATTGCAGCTTTATGCACAGAATGCCATGTACTGTTCAGAGATCGTCCACACACAAGCAGATATATCATAAAAAATGTATGTCACTTTTTTTTCGTTTACAAATTATAAATATGTCAATCACAAATTTAGTTTCATATATTAATAATGTCAAAATTCAACACTTAAATGATAGAATAGAATAAAAGGTTATTTATTTATCCATATCCTAATAATTTACATAGGTGTGTACAGTATACTTAAGCTACTAATTATCGAAGCGAATTCGTGGATATTTTGCTTCTTTGATTACACTGGGATTAAATAAATAGTATGTAGCATTCTGTATCATGAAGTGCAAGGTCCGGGCCATGACGGAGGGCGGGAACAGAGCTTGTAGATGACTATCTTGACATGCGTACTAAAATGATCATTAAACAAGAAGCTCGCTTTACTTATCTCACGATAAGCTGAGACTAACTTCTCACAGTGATCTCAAGGGCGGGTCACAGCCAGGGGAGTGGGGTGGGATGCTTTACACGTACTGGTATTCATGCAAGTTCTGGGATAATAATAAATATCGAAGCAATGATGGTTTTCAGGATCGACATTTCATTTTATCATCAGTTTGTTAAGACTTCCACATTCTGGCTTCAGATGAATACAACAAAATCTGATAATGGGATGGCAGTTAATGCTGAAAATGAAGAGGGGACAAAGAAAATTTCGAGCATTTCAAACTTGTAACGTGTGATAAAAATAAAGCAAAGAATGAAAGCTGTGAGCAAGGCGACTACATATCCTAGTGAGAATATTAACAGTGCTTCGGTGCCCGACCAATGCTTCAACAAGTGCACGATTTAAGGTCATTCTATTCTCCTGCTGGTCTAATAAAGCATATATATTATATAAAAGAGCATTGCTATATCTGGATTATATCATCTCGTGAGCAAGTAAAGTGCCAGAAAAAAATTGTGCAGTGCAAAATAAAAATATGTGGTCAAGTCGGTGTGTGGGAGTTGCAGCTTACGTTTCGGGAAGTGACTTTTGGTGGCCAACGTTGCATTTTACTGTGATGATGTGTCGCGGCATTCCGTGAGGTGCATCACAAGGAGAGAGAACCCAGGTAGGCGTCTTACAATCACAAGTATCTTCCCCACAATAATCTAGCATTTTAACAGACTAATCTACAAGAAAACTGGTACAGTGTGTCTCTTGCTACTAGGCTTCTGTAACTTGGTTCTTACACTACATATACTGGAAATGTCCTTTAGGATAACCTACGATACATCTAACAGGCATATATGACAGGTGTGTAACATATATATACTTACGATCCCCCTCCGTCATGTTGTATGAAAGAAACCCTGTAAAACAGGTTACGGTGAAGGTACTTAACAGTGACAATAAGACTAGACTGTCTCATAGCGTCTCAGTCACAACTCTACCATGCGAATTCTTCTTAATGGAAACTAATGAAAAATTTTGGTTAGAAAGGTTCATCTGATTCTAAAAGACTAAATCAAAATGCACCACTAAGATAATTTATTTATATATGGTTTGATAGATTTGTACTGTGGTCATGAGACACTTGAAAACAGTTGAAGATTGAATGCCCCTCCACAAAGGTCCCGCCAGAAGATTAAACACGTCTATTGAGACATACCCAATACACAGTTATGAGAGAGTGAAAGAGAGGAGAAAGAAGAAAAGCCACCTACACCTGCTTTAGTTATCACGAACGAGGACGTGTAAAGCTTAAAGGACCAAAGACACGTAATAAAGAGTAAAGCATAGATCAGGAAGATAAAAAAGCGTCAACACTTTTCTCGGAGGTTCCTTCCTAATTGACATAACACTTCATGACGTCATCCTGAAATAAATGTTTACATGTTGTTACCACCACCACCACTTTCGTATTTTATGCCATCGTTACCATCATAACTACCATTACTTCATCACCAACACCACCATATCACTATTTCCCCACCACCACCACCACCATCATCATCATCTGTACTTCCCCGCCATTGTCATCACCAACACCATTACCGCTACTTCTCCATCATCATCATCATCACCATCATCATCATCATCATCACCACCATCATCACAAGAACAACTACAACTGGTAATATAAGCCTACAAAATACGAAATAGTGATAATTACTTCATAATTGTCTACTAAAAACTGATATATGAAAAAAAAGTAAAGAAAATAATTATATTGTTAAAAACACAAATCATCCTGGTGAGACTATGAACCAAGGCAGGCTGAGGGTATCTTCGAGTCTGTAGCTCCCACCGGCCCTTAATGAGTCTCTTGTCCAGGGCCCCAAAATGGCTTTCTTACTTAGGGCCCCAAAATGACTCTCTTGTCCAGGGCCCCAAAATGACTCTCATGCCCAGGGCCCCAAAATGACTCTTGCTCAGGGCCCCAACAACCCAAGAGACATCGATGATTGCTAAAGGTGCTGGACAATGAAAGAATTATCATTATAGAAGCGAAGGTACATGTGACAGTGATGAGCATTGTGCACTAGTGTACTGAAACAAACAGAGAGAGAGAGAGAGAGAGAGAGAGCAGCAACAGAAGCAGCAGTGCCTGAAGGTGCAACAACAGAGGACGACAAAGACCCTGGGTGACGCCTCCTACAGTACCTCTCTTACTACTTACATGTACCCTCAGTCCAGTTATATTTCCTTTTCCATTCCTCTATTCCTGAAAGGCAAAATGAATATTACTTTTAATACATCATGCTGACACAGACACGTGTCAACCATGGGGGATAGAAATAATACATATATTTAATTATGAAGATTCGTGTTGTTTTGGCATGATACATAGTTGGGAAGAGTCACACACGCACACACACACGCACGCACGCACGCACGCACACACACACACACACACACACACACACACACACACACACACACACACACACACACACACACGATACTTGTGGGAAAAATTCTCTCACACACGACCTGACCGCCTACTCACTCACACTTAACCTTTATCTAACAAGGGACTTTTAAGCATATATTAACGCTGGTTAAATTTGATCCTTCTTAGTTAACGTTACGAGGCCCTTGACTCCGGGTGAGAACAGGGCATGTGATAAAGCGGCTAGATTATGTGTGTGTGTTTACTATAACCACTCCACTCAGCCCATGCCACATACTCCACCCTGCCCATTCCACCTCTCATACTCCACCTTACCCGTCCCAACTTGCCCATTCCACCCTGCCTACTCCTTCCCACCCACTCTACTCGACACCCTCCTATATCCTACTCTGCCCACTCCATCCCAGCCATTCCACCCTGGCACTCTAGGGGTAAAAACCTGTGGTTGGTTGGAGTAACTCGACCCGGCTACGACACACACACACACACACACACACACACACACACACACACACACTTATATACAACAACAAAAAACATGAAGCTGGTTGCAGTTGTTGGGATATATCTGTCGTTCCCAAGACAAGTGTGGGAAGGAGGCGAGGTAAGCTACTGAGAGGTGTTAGGAGGTGATAAGGGATGTTGGAGAGTAGAGGGTGTTAGGGGATGGGGATAAGGTGCTAGGGTGGTGATAAGGGTGGTGTGAGGGTATGAAGGGTGAACACCTAAAAGTACCACACACACACACACACACACACACACACACACACACACACACACACACACACACACACACACACACACACACACACACACACGATTTAGCAACGATGTAATCTCTGCGTGGAATGTTTGCCAGCCAATATTACAACTCATGCATAGCTGTGTGAATGAAGAAGAAAATATATGACAATATATGAGGCAAAATGATGACAATGTATGACAAATATGTATGATAATGTATGATGAAATGTATGACCGTGTACAAGGGGAAATGTATGGCAATGTATGAAAATAGATATAATGATGACAATGATGATAATGATAATGATGATGACGATGATAATGATAATGATGATGATGATGATTTATTACACATTGGTAAACGTGTTCTATACTGCTCAAGACAATAAAGACGGAAGACTAATAAGACCCTCTTGAGTATAATGAGCCTTATGAAAGCCTTTTAAGGACGCATTGCACTAATGTACTAAAGAGCTCGTTGAGATAATTAAGAGTGGTCGTCGGATACCTTGTAAAAAGACATGCGTGTTTTGTGATGAATAAACACACACACACACACACACACACACACACACACACACACACACACACACACACAAAGAGAAACAAAAACACTTAAATACATACATACACATTATATACATACATACATACATACATACATACATACAACTCTCTCTATTCCATAAGCTGGAGAAAATAACACCTCATGTCCATCACCTCACGAAATACGACCCGGAACAAAAACAACTCAAGAATGTAACTCGGGGTTAAGAGCCAAGGGTAAGTTGTCCTTATACACTTTTACAACGCCGCTACGAGTGTTCAACGGATTGCGTTACCCTTACTCGTCCGTCCGTCAGTGCGTGCGTGCGTGCGTGCGTCAATGCGTTAGTATGTCAGTGTATTCGTGCGTCATTGATTTAGTGCATCTTAGTGAGTCCATGCGTCAATGTGTCCGATAAAAGATTTCAAGTGCGATCTGAGGGACTTTTACGCAATTTTTTGTGGTTTATTATTGTACTGAGTGTGTGTGTGTGTGTGTCCCAGACCTGTTTGAGTCTCCAGCATTGATAGTGTTTAACTTTCTACAAGGTCATCATTAGGGCAGCCCTAATGAGGGGGGAGAGAGAGAGAGAGAGAGAGAGAGAGAGAGAGAGAGAGAGGACGTTCGAAACAATACAACACCTCTTAGAGACAAAAAAAATAGTTGATCCAGCATCGTAGAACACCTGAATGAAAGAACAAGATGAACAAACAATAGGATTCCCATAATGAACAAAAGCCAAAGACAATAAAAAAAATGTGATCGAACCCCCCCAGAAGATTTCACTCGCATGACTCGGCAAAAACAATTCAAGACGGCAGACAACAACACTAACTTAAAAGGTAATGAGGTCGAGCCCTTCAATGCCCCAGGGGATACATCCACTTTGACCTATATTACCTGTACCACAAATTCACCTGGTGTATATACCTTTTCTCACACCACAGCTATACCCAAGATACACTTACCAAACACCATAAATTATTATATACCCTTCACGGTGTATTGTATATACCATCTTAAGTGTACACACACACACACACTACACTAATCTAAAAAACATACCCGTAAATCTACGTTAAAGTACCTACAGTATGGGTCACTGTAGTACATAATGTACATAGAGAGAGTAACGAACAGCTTACAGAATACTATTATCGGTACACGACTCCTGCCAAACATTCACTCTCCAACGCTGCCGATCGTCAATATGTGAATTCATTTAGGATAATTCTTCACGTTTTGTTGATGAAGTCAGTCGCGACCTGTGGATAGGTGGTTATGTTCGTGATGGTGGTGGTGGTGATGATGATGATAGTAATAGTAGTAGTGATGATAGTGGTGGTGGTGGTGGTGGTGGTGATGATAGTAATAGTAGTAGTGATGATAGTAGTGGTGGTGGTGATGATGATGATGATAGTAATAGTAGTAGTGATGATAGTGGTGGTGGTGGTGGTGGTGGTGGTGGTGATGATGATGATGATGATGATGATGATGATGATGATGATGATGATGATGATGATGATGATGATGATAGTAGTAGTAGTAGTGATGATAGTGGTGGTGGTGATGATAGTGGTGGTGTGATGATAGTGGTGGTGGTGATGATAGTGGTGGTGGTGATGATAGTGGTGTGGTGTGGTGGTGGTGGTGATGATGATAGTGGTGGTGGTGGTGATGATAGTGGTGGTGGTGATAGTGGTGTGGTGTGATAGTGGTGGTGGTGGTGATGATAATGTGTGGTGGTGGTGGTGGTGGTGATGATGATAGTGGTGGTGGTGATGATGATAGTGGTGGTGGTGATGATGATAGTGGTGGTGATAGTGGTGGTGGTGGTGGTGATGATAGTACCTGTGAATTTTGTAGGCGATGATAAATCCTTGTGATGATATTTGATAATGATGATTTCAAGTGATGACAATGATTCTTAGTAATGAACATGATTGGTTAGTGATGACAATGATTTTAACTGAAAGTGACTACTAATCATGACTGACGATGACTTGTAAATAACTTGAAAATGAGCTACAACGAGACAGTGAAAATGACGTGTCTTTATGACGAGGATGATGACGAGCATGAAGAGACGTGAGGTAATGACGTAAGGTGTTCCCGCTGACTGTCAGGTGAAGAGTAGTCATGATGACGGTGCTACTAAGAACATTGGGAGGGAGGGAGGGAGGGAGTGCAGGCTTACGTAAAGAAGGAAGAGAAGGGAAAAGACTAATAGAAATGGAGAAAGAGAGGGAAGGAGAGAGGAAGGGAGGAGGAAAAGCAAAGAATAACTATTTACAGAGGAAGGGAGGGGTAAGGTAGAGGGAGGGAGGTAGGGAGAGAAGGGAGGTAGGGAGAGAAGGGAGATACTCACGTGTGTCATTCTCATCAATTTTTGGCTCCACGATGACCGTCTTGTACTGTAAAGGAAAAGAAAAATACAGTCATAATGCGATACAGTGAAAGAACAATACAGCGATACAATAACAGTGCCATAGAGTCATACAGCAATACAGTAAAAGTTGTATACATTGGGCAGTGTATTAACGTAGGTTAGTAGTGTATATTGAAGTGTATATACTCACAGTATATACACTTCCGGTGTCAGATTATACAAAGCTCACCGCCACTTCATTTTATTTTTCATCCTTTCACTACTTAACAATTTATTAAGATTTCGAGGGAGTTGGTAAGTTCTTTGCTAGTCTAATATGACCTTTGTATCGTTCAGTATTGGTACAGGAAGATACAAGAATACCCGTAGAAAACCTGTCATGTTTAGCGGGAGAATCACACTGGATAACGCCTTTCTCATATCTGACCAGGGGCGGGGATTGAACCCAGGATATAGTAGTGATGGATACAAGCGTTACCCCCCCCCCACCTCCTCCTCCTTCCTTCTTCATGTCCCCCCAAAATAGTTTAATTTCGTAATAGGAAGTAAAATAGTAAGAACACACACACACACACACACACACACACACACACAGGAAACCAAACCTTTTTATCATTAAGTGTTTCCCCCGAGGCCCAAGGCTACAAGCAAACAACGGTTGGGGGGGGGGTAATCTTCAGGTGTTCCAATGTTTGTTGTTTACCTGGACTGTCTATGTATATTGTTTGTATACTAGCACTGTTTATGTAAATTGTATACCCTCATTGTCTATATATATACACTTAATTATATAAAGATCTTTGACAAACTCACTATTTATCTCTTGTATCTAACCAGGCACTAGTAACTACCTTATTAAGACTCTAGTAAAGTTGACCCAAGATTATTTTTTCCATTTTCTTTGTTTCATAATAATGTACTAACACCGGAGGAGATACTACACTCGGGTACTGAGGCTTTGACAGTGATGTTTCCGGTGAGACAGGTGGGTGAGACAGGTGGGTGAGACAGAGATTTACCCACCTGCTTCCCACCCACTCGGAGTGATGAGGGTGCCTGCCTTCCCACCCACTCAAAGCCGTCCCACCCTGTCATCTTTTATCAAAGTGTGGGCGTGATGAGGACCACCCCTTCACCTTTACTCTTTACCGTGTGGGCGTATGATGGTCTCCCTCACCACTACCCGGGTGTGGGCGTTGGGTATGGGCCCCCATCACCCTGAGTGTGTGGGGGGGAAAAATCTCGTGAGGTGCCAACTACCCTCTTATAATCCCCTGATAAACGCATTCCTGAGTGGATGATGTTTAAAAGCAGTCCTCGAATAACTGAGTGGATGCCAGAGGTACAGTTTTACCGTCATCATTAATAAATATTCTAATCAACAAATTGGTTACATTTCAATATCGCAACACTTGACAACTCATACATAACCGCCTCCTCTCGTCTAGTATTTCGCTTATTACACGGTTTCTGAGTTCTGTTTTCATTATGTAATCGTTAAACTGAGACTAAATACACCTAGTAATTACCAGGAAAATGTAGGAAGACGCTAAAATGGAAGACTGAACCGGTATTCCAAAAGGTCATAAATCTGATATAATACTCAACTTGGCCGAGGCGGGACGCAGCTGAGATGCCCCAACACCCGCTATGGTTCAGTCGCCTGACTCCTGAGGTTGGCATACACCAGCTGTCCTCCCGGCCATGGCATACCTTCCCCAAGGGTTATACATTCCGTGTGAGGGCAGACGAGGCTAGTGAGGGTGCTGATGGTGTGGTTGAGTGGTAGATATAAGCAGAGGATGTGGGAGTAGAGGAAGCCTGCCTACCCACACACACAGTCCTGAGTCAGTGACCACTAAGCACAGGCTAACTAACGCACCCTGATTTTTTCCGAAAGTGACGTTAAACCGAGTGGCATTTGGATTATTTATATAGTCTGTCTCGCGTGGAAATCAAAGGTGACTCACACAACGTCCACAAGAGCGGCTTGGTATTTTCAACGTCCAGAACTATCTGGGAATTGTGAGTGGATGTGTTGGTAGTGTGACGTGACGTGACTCCTGCTGGTGGCCGTGTACACACCATCATGGTTGTGGTTAGGAGTGTTGTGTTGCTGCTACTGATGTTGCAAGATGTGTTAGGTAAGTTGCATGTTGATTCTTATGCATGGGTATCTACGCAAGCATGTATTACGCACCCGCGGATACGCACGCACACACTCACGGATACTTACACGCACAAAAATGCAGGACACACACACACACGCGCCGCAAAAAAGCACATAAGCAAACAAACACACGCTTGACCGTGTATGTGTCAGTGTCATCACTCGCCTGGACTTTAAATTACAAGCTCTTCTTAGAAAGTTGTGTTAAACAACAACCTTGGGTAGGCGTTTGTATTCTTTACATATAACATCAAACTATAGATTCTGACATAACACTGACCTGAGTCACTAATCACTTTATTGTAATGAACATGACCAACACGAGCCGACTGGACAGACATGGAGTGTTGTGACATGAATAAAGAACAACTTCCCATTTCGTCTACTCTCTGTTTTTATTCTTCTGAATGGCTAGTATTCACATTATGTCTACTCTGTTGATATGTCTATTCTGTTGATATGTCTATTCTGTATACAAAAACACCCATTAACTGTAAAGGAGAAACTAACAGTATATTGGTAAGTTAGGCTGTCAAGTTTATGTAGTCACTCAAGGACCTGCCATAATACATACATACTGTACATACATATACCACCCAAACTATTGACGAACTATCTGACTAATTCTACCCTAACAAGGACTAACATGATTACTATGAATTGGGGGGAGTGGGGACAAAGAAAATAAGGACTGGAGATTTAGGATTTAATAATGAATCATACCACACCTGAAGCCAATTATCGGTTAACTCCAGGTTGATCTAATTAACCTAACCTAACCTTATGTGTCTCGTATAAATCTTAGCCACCTTATATGACTACTCTATATATTTTTAAACACTTCATACGACTCCTAAATTTTAACACGTTTATAAGATTCATATATATATTTAAAAACGTTTGTAACACTCCTATATATATATATATATATATATAACTTAGCTACCTTATACGACTTTTATATACACCCTTGGTATATGACTCCCAGATATACAGGGCATGAGGTCAGTAAGAGTGAGTAACACGAGAGGGTCGAGTGGCCTACGTGGTGCTAAGTTTGTTTACATAATGTTAGCAGTGACTTCTCTCCTCCAGTTTATTATTACTCGGAGTGTATATTTTTATGAGGATTGTCATGTTGATCCTCTTGGATTTGTGCCTGAAACTTGTCTATTGAATTGTTTACTTTTTTTCCTGAAGTAAAATTGTTTATTCAGAAATGTAAGTTTTAGTTTATAGATGTTACTGTAACTAGGTGTGCACAATAGAATATTCTTATGTGGTGACGTCATGATTAATGTGTAGCCCCGAGAAGACTATATAAAGTATATTCTACTTGGCTTGGTTTTAATGGACTTGATTTGTGTTAGCAGATGAGACTATCATTCCCTCTCATATTACCAGTGACTTTGTTAATGTTGCAGTCGGGGGCGAGGAGCAACTGTGGTGTTACGAGTGTGGCACAGGGGTCGCGGGTCAGCCCACGTGTGAGGACTTCGCTCGTGCCTCCTCCTGGACGAACTTTTGGAGGAAGTGCCCCAAGGACTACGTCTGTGTCAAGGCCATGCCTAAATGGGCCATGACTAACGGTAAGTACAAAATCACACACAATCCCTAACTTTACCAAGCCCGCCTTATTATCTTATAAATTTTAAACATTTATATTGAAAAAAATTAAATTCCCCCTTGACTTTTTCCTGTCGGGCTATGGCGAAAATGATGTTCTAGTTCCACCAATAACAACTTTGGAAAATTTGAAGGAAAGGATACGTGAGGCTGTTGGAAAAGTTCAGTATGATAAGCGACGAAATGTATGGAGAAATCACTACGGCTCTGTTATCTGCGCGCGCACGCGCACGCACACACACACGCACACACACACACACACACACACACACACACACATATATTGAATCTGTATTGCTTGATAATAAATCTTTTTTAAGTTCTTCATTAGTATATTTTTCTTTTAGTTGGATCGCTGTTAGTTTTTTCTTCAAAATAAATGTTTAAATCGGGACGACCATTTGTAATTAATCGGCATAACTGAAGAATCGTGAGTCGCGCAGCTCAACAAACTTATTATCCATGAATTATCCATGTTTGTAAAAAAAATAATGTCGTGGTTTTCTAAGGCATAAATGGTTACCTATATTGTTCTTATTCATATAATTTATTGATAATTGTTTCCAATATTATTTCTAAGACTGGTTCCTCGTTAGGGTGACAATTGTCAACACCAATAATCTTACGAGTGAGGACCTGACCTAACCTGTCTCCCTTCTACCCCACAGAGAGCCATATAGTACGTGGCTGTACCCTGCAGACCAACCTTCGTGGCGACACCCACCTTGAGGGCTGCTGGAGCCACTTCTCCTCCGCCATGATCTTCTGTTTCTGTAACACTGACCGCTGCAACCACGCCCGGACGTCCACGCCCACCATCCTAACACTAACCATCCTCCTTGCTCTCTGTGTGGGTTTGAGATGATGGTTCTCACCGCCCGCACCTTCACGCCCACCAAAGTGATACTGTCAGCGGTAGGAACGACAGTCACGACTCTTCCAGCATTAATCATCCTCGAAAGTGACATTCCCGAGTCATGGCTCAGTACTTAGTTTACTTCAATCCACAAATACAAGGTCTCCACAAGAACAAGTAGCTGTTGGGTACGGTTACTGCAACACTACATCATAACACTACAACACATCACTACACTACAACACAATACCACACAACTCTTTAGTGTGTTGAGTCACGAATAACTTTGATCAAACAACACGGTACAAGTTATCATCATCCAACCCTATTAATAAGTTCGTCTTCATAACCAAATATTACGTGTTTAAGAGCGGGTGTTCTAGTGTCATCAGGTTTAAGTCAAGTGTTTAATCGGTGTTTTGCTTATTTTATCAAATTCACTCTACAGCTTAGAACAATAATAAAAAAAAATCGCCTCACACTGTATAGTATATAATAGAGGTATATATGTACATACTTATATATGTTACAAAATCTATATGTGCTTATTTATATCATTAGCTGTTGTGAAGTTATGGTTTAGTGCGGTTCAGAGATGAGGTGATCAGGTAGGATCGTTAATGAGTAAGTGTTTACCTGACACCTGTAAACAATGTGTTCAGAAGTATACATAATGAGTTACCTGCTAATAGTTCCTATATTACCTTACAAAATACCTGTGTGTGTGTGTGTGTGTGTGTGTGTGTGTGTGTGTGCCAGGACCTGCTATTGCCTAGTATAGTAGACGTGTTACTAGCCTATGTATCTAGTAACTGGTCATTCTATGTAATACTTATGCATTTATTTAACTTAATATCCTCTCGTTTATATATGTTCCGTTGTGTCTTTCCATCAATAGCTTTTACACAACTCAATACTATGTGATTTAGAAAAAAAAATAGTCCATCATAAATTATTATATTGTATGATACTGTCAAGTTGGTAGAGTCATGCGTGTTTGTTTATCCCCGTCGGGGAGGTTTAGTGATGTCACGTCAATAACTCTACTCCCTAGGGCATGAATTGTTGGTGACGTCATCCAGTATCACCTGCGTTTGTTTACTACACTAGGTGGTGACGTCATTCAAGACCACATGCTTTTGTTTACTACACCTATTCCCTTTGTTATGATTGGGTGGTGACGTCATCCGGAAACACGTGCGTTTGTTTACGTACAATAAGGAACTCGCACGATTGGGTGATGACGTCACAAGTATGTGTATTTTCTTCATCTTCCCCCAATACGTACAGTACATTTATTTCCTACACACACACACACACACACACACACCAGTCCTCATGTGTGGAAGGTGGCCAGGTGGACACGTCACTCATCAATACACGGGTTCGCTTCCCAATTGACGTGGGGAGTTGCAACACTACTCTCTCTCTCTCTCTCTCTCTCTCTCTCTCTCTCTCTCTCTCTCTCTCTCTGAGAAAAAATACCACTAAACCATTATATAACCATTCCTGTCATCTCCATGGTAACCAGAGCCAGGACCAGAAAAAGAGCGCCTACACGAACACACCGAACAGAGCCTGGCATCTCTCTTCACCAGACGAACGTTCGCCCGTCATCACCCTGTAGTGGCGGTCTTTATTTTATCTACCAAACAGTTGTATACATCTAGTCAGTAAAGAATATATAATAATATAAGTGTTTCTTTAGTCTCTCCTTGTATCTGAAGAAGGAAAATGATGAAAGGAACTAAGGAGAGAGAGAGAGAGAGAGAGAGAGAGAGAGAGAGAGAGAGAGAGAGAGAGAGAGAGAGAGAGAGAGTGGGATAAAGAGAGGAGGTGGAGGTGGTCCCAGGTGCGTGGTGAAACCCTAACAGGAGATGAAGGTGAACTTGGGAATCCCCGAGTCGTGTGATAATGGTTGACACACACACACACACACACACACACACACCACTTCACTTCACACTGTACACCATTTTTCAGCATGCACCGCTCTCTTCATGCATCTTCACCATACAGTTCCTTCACCATACACTTCCTTCACTACACACCTCCCTCATCACATACCCCCCTCACCATGCATCTCCCTCACCATACCCCTCCCTTGTACCTTACCACACTCCTTACCTCACAATACATGTCTCGGTACCTTTACCATATATCTCCTATTTCCAATTTTCTCCCACACCACACCCCCTGATCCCCAAGCCACGCCCCCAGATCCCTAAGCCCCACCCCCTAACTCCCAAGCCCCACCCCCCTGATCTCCATGCCCCACCCCTTAACCCCATTAACAAACTAGATTGACGGGGCAAAAGTTTCCTAGTGTGGTAAAACTCGTTTTGGTGGTGAGAAGTATTTGTGAGACATTCTCTTTTATAGCTAAGATAATCACATGACTGTTAGCCGAGTTTATTTTACTTGATGATTAAACACCCAAACGCGACCTGGGATAGGGGTTAAGTTAGGTCAGGCTAGGTTAGGTCAGGTTAGGGTATGGTAGGTTAGGTTTGGATATGGTAGGTTAGGTTAACATTACGGTGGTTAAATTCAAGATGAAATAAACTGGGGTATCAAATCTTAAGGTGACCCGTCAAGTACCATCATGAGAAACGCTACACAACCCGATACTGAAGTAATAATATTTATAAACAGAAGCAGCTGCGGTGTACAGAGACCAGCTGGATGTTACTGAAGGTGATAACGAGGTGTGACGTACAGTGAGTGTAGCTTTAGTATACGAATTATTTATACGTATCTTTAAATGATCTGGTAATAATAATAATAATATGCATTCTTTTGAGTATTGTTCGCGTATTGTTGTTGTTATTGTCATGTTTGTTATAGTTAGTTACTAGTTTCTGTTACTGTACTTGTGACTAGATTATTTTGAACTTAAATCCTTCCAGCAGCGACCTATACTGTTGACAGAACCTCACCAACCAGGACGTCACACACACACACACAGGGAGAAATCTGACAGCTCTTACTGTAGGATGCGATCAACATAACATGAGACAAAAGTGAGTCACATCTTAAAGGTCAATAACTTAAATTTTCCCTGACACACAATAGAGTCTTGGCAACACTTATCTCACTTAACGCGCTTAAAAGGTCACCTCCAGAGTCACTTTATTCACTGCTATTGTAAGAACTGCTTATAAAAATGAATGATAAGCTTGATATTATTGTAGTTTCGGATATAAAGGAATATTTTTAAAGTGAAATCAAGGCATATAGTGAGACCTCTATTGAACGGGCGATATGGAGAGGAAAATCCACTATATCGAGGGTGGGTTAGATGTGAAACCCTCTTTTAACGAACTATATAGCAATGTACGTTTAGGGATTTTGTCAATATTGTGGCAGTTGTGTTTTGAGATGTTGAAAAAAACAATAGTTCAGATGGTATAATAATGTACGTATATTTCACCAACATCCTATTTCACAACATCTTTCTCCACAACATTCTTCTCAAAATTCTTTATAACATCCCTCAACATCCTTCACCACATTATCCTACACTTCATCGCCCCCACGGATCCCATTTCAGAATCAGCTGGTCCCTCTCCCTAAACCCAATTTTGGCCAATTTTTGTCTTCCTTACGCGGGATATTTTGCATTATGAGCCAGACTGAGGCATAGTAGGCCAAACGCCAAAGTTTTAACTCTAGGATGAACAACGACCCGTCTACTTTTATAACCTCTTCTCATCTAACCTATCATTATAACCTGGATAGTTATAATGGAGACAGCTATAATTTCGCCTTACAACACCTTACCTCGTTCATCCTAAGAGTAAACAGTAAACAATACTAAACAAAGATCCTCATTACACGACACAACACAACATCTCGTTCGTCCTGGGGAGAGGAGAGACGGAGGCTGCTTCATCCAGCCAGCACCTCGCCACCGTAAAATTAAGTTAGGCTCAACCTTGAGTAGATTTGAATGCCGAGTCTCGGAGATTCGTGAGTTTCTTTATCACTGTAACTGTATATAAGAGAACAACACATCTACCTACAGTGTAAGGGAGTATAGAACGTCATCTTAATGTCTCGTATCGTCAGCTAAAGTCTCGGATCGTCAGCTAAAGTCTCGGATCGTCAGCTTAAGTCTCGGATCGTCAGCTTAAGTCTCGGATCGTCAGCTTAAGTCTCGGATCATTAGCTAAAGTCTCGGATCGTCAGCTAAAGTCTCGGATCGTCATCTTAAGTCTCGGATCATTAGCTAAAGTCTCGGATCTTTGTGTAGTGGCTTAACAAATGAGGGTGTCAAACCGAGTCAGGGATTACTCGTTAAATTATATCGCACGGACGTTATAGGAATTGGATCTCCTTACCAGCAGTGATACCTCCTTCCCTCCCTCACTCACCCTCACACTACTCCCTCCTTTCCCTCTTACCTTCATTCTCCCTCCCTCCCCCACACCATCAAAACTTTCCACTCCAGATCTTCCATCGTCTTGCCTCCAGTGTTACCAAGGTCACCCCTGCAACACCTGACTCACGCCCAATTCACCACCAAAACATTAGAACGCCCAGGGCAACCACACCACCACGACACCACTACCACCACCACGACACCACTACCACCACCACCACTCCAGTCCACTCCACTTCACTTCACTCCACTCCACTCCACTCCACTCCACCAACACCCTCCTCCTCCTCCTCCACCTCCTCCACTCCACCACAGCGCATCAGGTGATAGCGCTTTGCAGTAACGACAAGTACAGGAAGAGGCAGGCAGGTTACAGTTTCTCAGGTACAGGCTGCAGGTACGGGTATACTGGACACGACCCAATTTCATCCATAGGTCACTGCGTCACCAGTGGAAAGGGGCAGAAGGAGGCGCCGAGGAAGGTATGGGGTTGGGTGAAGGAGGTGCTGGGGAATGGAAAGGGTGGGAGGGTGGAGGAGGAGAGGAGGGGGGGAGGGCAATTAATACTTTCTCCTACACTCCTTCAATTTCCGAGCTATTAACGCCCTTTCCTCCTCTAATCTTTTCACTCACAAGAAAAGAAAAGAAAAACTTAGGACAGGTTGGGCCCCAGGACAGTGAAGCGACCGTGGGTAAACAGATTTATTGCTCTTTCCCGGAACCCCCAACCCCCCCACTTTTTATGAGCTACTGCCATTGGGGGAGGTGTGCGGTGGCCGGGTGACTATATCACTCACCTCCTATCTTAAGGGTCTCTGGTTCGATCCCGGGCCACTTCCAATCCACCCAGCTGTAAATGGGAGGGGAAGCGAAAGTGGTCGACTGCAGTGCTGTCTCCATTAGTACGGTTGGCTTAGTACACGATATACTGTATCATATGGGACTCCCTTTCACTTTTCACTGGAGAGCACAACATAAAATCTCTCTCTCTCTCTCTCTCTCTCTCTCTCTCTCTCTCTCTCCGATGTTACGACTCACCAACACGAGAGGACAAAACTTCAAGCTCTCCAAGGTGATATGCAGAACGAATATAAGTAAGTAATTCTCCACACAGAGGGAGGTAGACCTACCAGCACAACCCGTGAAAACGTAAACAGTACTGGGCATCAAAATAGCCCTATCAAGTACAATGGAGGGTCCTACACTAGCCAATGTCCCTCTTCCCTCGGCATGAACACCTTCAGAATACGTCAGTTACTCCTCAGGAAAACTAAAAGTATTTCTGAAGTATATCCGTGTGTACGATAAACTGGACCGCTGATAAATATTTGTAAACAACACATCGCTGCCGGGCGTATGAAAAAATGGCGGGAGTTTCAAAGCTACAGCGCCATCAGAAATACACCCTGATTACTCGAGATGCTTTTAGAGCTCTGAAGTAACGATTGAAACGCTCTAAAATTAAAAACTTCAAAGGAAAAACAAATTTAAAAGCAATTACCGTCGCAAAAAGCATAGTCACTCCTACATCACAAAAACACTGTACATTGAAATCTTGAATCATGTTGTATACTTAAATAAATCTCATTCTATCAATATTTTCTCGTAACAATAATTAAAAATATAGATAAGTAGATAGATAACTGAATTTATATACACACAATCACGTTCAGGTACACTCACACGATTTATGATTTCTTACCGCCGAGTCAGTCGAAGTGTGGGGCTTATCATATCTTCCTTAACAGATTATATTAACCTCAGCTTCGCCTTTATTCCAAGTAATTTACATGATAAGAATTATGACGTCATCCACCGCAACAAACACCACAGTAAACAATGAATCACGTGAGGATTAGCCCCCCCTTGTTTATTTAACCTGATGATTAAACACCTGGGGGGGGGGGGCGGAGGTTAAGTTGGTTAGGTCAGGTAAGGTAAGGTTAGATCAGGTAGGGTTATATTTGGTTAGGGTACCTTAGGTTAGGTTAGGCTAGTGTTCAGGTGGTTAATCTTAAGGTGAAATAAGCTGGAGGGACTAATCTTCAGGTGGTCAGTAAGAACAAGTACTCACCGTCTCGAAGCAAGCTTGAATCAGGTTGGGAGGGAATAAGTTTCTGTAAAAGAAGAAAATGAATGAATTAACCTTATGTTAAGACGCTATAACAAATATGTATTTTTTCACCACATTTCCAAACTTGTTTGTTAAATATTTTCCAGTGATTTATACTCATCATAAATATTGTCCTGGTGAACCTACCCTACTCTAACCTAACCCAATTTAACCTAATCTCAGTACACGAAAAGATCCGTATGGAGGTCAGAGGTATTCACTGTGACTACACTATCACCACTAGCTCAACCCAGATCACTTGTAATCTACCACCACTATCACCACTCGCTCAGGTCACCAACCAACTACTACCACGATTATCACCACCTCTAGTATTGTACAATCCATGTCATCAATCAGCTACCACCACCACTATCATAACTACCACCACCATTATCACCACCACTAGCATAACCCACATCACCAACCACCATCCCTACCATTATCAATATACACGTGTATCTATCTAATAATTTCCAACACCTGCCTGACGAAGGGACGACTCACCTGGGGAGATCCATGAGGAGGTCAGGGGTGTAGACACTGCGAGCCTCTCCGGCCTTGGTGATGCCTTCGTCGGAGCCCTTACCGGGGTGGATGCTGACGACCAAGATGATACCGAGGACGACCGCCAGCACAGTCGTCGTCATGTAGTAGGCCACAGCGCGGAGACCGATCTTTTTGGATAGTGACAGATCAAGAGAACCTGTAGGAGGGGGTGAATAAGGAAGACGTGTATAAGAATTAATCGATCATGAATAAAGTACTGAAATTACCCCTCTGATTACCTAAATAAATAATTATCACAACATTACTATTGATGCAAAAGTGATATATGTTCTTTAAAACAAAATGTCCTACAACGTAATGAACACCATTAGAACACATGAGACTCGTGTTATAATCATTAACTCAAGAGGTATTTTTCTCACTATGGTCCCCCTGGCGGCCAACACCAACACTCATTTACATAAACAACAAACTAGGAACGTGATACTTTATATACAACATTATCACAGCATGAAGAATTACGGTCACGCTTACAAAACACAGACCACGAAAAAGAAATCACTAGCATTACTAACAAAATAAAGATGTAGATACTTTATTTTATTGGCTTGATAAAATATAATAATAATAATAATAATAATAATAATAATAATAATAATCATAATAATAATAATAATAATAATAATAATAGTAAACCAGTATGAATATTGTATAAGGTTAGGTTTGGTTAGGTTAAGGTACCTATACAAAATCAACCAAGAACTAGTGTAGCCGTGAAGTACCAGGCACTAGTAACGACTCGTATCAATTACCAGCAGAAATATTACAGTGTGGACTCGAATAGTAACAATGTTAACTTACTGAGTACCAATCTGTACTCGTACCAGGGATGAGTAGGGAATTAGGATAGGGAGAGGAGAGTACGTATAGACAGGGAGCTCTTGAGGGAGGGAGAACTCCTGAAGAAGGGGGGAGACGAGGACTTACCAATGGCTGAGACGAGGGAGGAGACGATGAAGACGGGGATGATGACTTATTGATAGCCGAGACAAAGGAGAAGATGATGAATGGGGAGGACGAGGACTTGCCGAGACGAGGGGGGGAGGGAGGAGACGATGAATGGGGAGGACATGGATTTATCGATGACTTAAACAATGAAGACGAGGACGAGGACTTACCAATGGCTGAGACGAGGGAGGAGACGATGAGGGGGATGATGAGCGCCTTCAGTGCACGAAGGAACAGCTCACCGATGTAGCCGACATACATCACCTCACGCTTCGACCAAGGCCCATCCCGAGAGTACCTGTCGGGTGGAGGGGCTTGAGTTACCTCACCGAGAGAATCTAATGTAACTTCACTGAGGGACTGAAGAAAGTTAGAAATATCTTACTGAGAACTTTTCTAAGTTCCTTAAATTACCTCACTAAGAGGCCACACAAAGTTACAGCCTAAATTTAAAGGTTTTAGAACATTTTGAGAAATATTAAGCACAAGGATAAGAGAGAGAGAGAGAGAGAGAGAGAGAGAGAGAGAGAGAGAGAAACATAAAAATCACATCCACACATTCCTACAAGAAGGAAGGATGCCTCGATATACTAACCGTAGGATGACGCCCAACACCACGCCCCCTGTAACGCCCGACACGGTAAGGATGGGTAAGAGGTTGGCATTTATCGCATCCTTTATCGTCTTCGGGTTACATGAGAACTTCCGCGACATGATGGCCGAGGTGGCGGAGGCGGCGGCGGTGGTGGTAGTGGTTGTAGTGGTGGTGGTGGTGCGGCCGTCAGATGGGGACCACACAACTGTCTGCTGGCCCGAGCTGTAAACACCATCAAGGTAACGTGTTAGTATTAGCGACACATTTCTAGTAACACGTATAATTAAATAACACACACACAAAACAAACACCAAGTTCTCTGATTGGCAAGTTCCTGGCCATTAACTTTACTGTCATTGGTCGACAAATTAGTTCATTGAAGACTCAAATATCACGTGGGTGTCGCGCCTTGTGAGGAGGGTGGGGGGGGGGGGGTGGTGAGGGGATGGGGGTTGCTACGGGATATTTTTACCCTTAACTCAGGATAAGAGAGAGTATTAGCTACACTATAGTCTCAGTGTTAAGTTGATGCCATGTTTAAGGTCCAGGATTTGTGTGGTGGTTGAGCGAGTTAGTGTTTAAGAGGGCTGGACAAGAAAGTTTTTTACGTGTGGTGTTTATGTGTTGATGGGCTCCTTCCGCTCCACGCCCACCACCACCTTAGCACCCTGAACCACCTAGCACCCTGCGTCACCTAGCACTCAGTATCACCTAGCACCCATCAGCATCACCTAGCACCCACCACCCAGCTGGACCCACAACCCGGCTTCATCAAAGGAGCTTAACATCAACTTTCCTCCCTAACTTGTGACCTGAGAGCTGATCTGGCTGGCTTCCTGTGAGAGGCCAAAGACAGAAAAAGTCTCTCCAAGATTCGTAAGTTCATTTCCTTCCGAATTTACGACATAAGAAGATACCTCATATAGACTATATTAAGATCAAGGTCCATACGTATCTTAACTGCCTCACTAACAACAAGTCAAAGATGGTAGGTAAAATAGGGTCGACATTACACTGAGACAATACTGTAACTCGATACATTTGTCTCAATCTCCAGGTAAGATCAACTAATTAACATGGAAATCCTTGGGAGTAATGTTCCCCACCGCCCAGGGAAGAGAGAGAGAGAGAGAGAGAGAGAGAACACAGTAATCCTTCCACCCGAGTGTTTAGGAGTGTAACCGACTGTAAACTTATCATGTAAATAGACCATAACAATGCCTTAGATAACGTTGATATTCTAGCATTTTTCTCTCACTATTGTCCTGTAATGGCACACACACACACGCACACACACACACACACAGAGGCAGTTGTCCCCGCTCCTATGATAACCTTGTTTTATTGCCACTACTTGACCCACTCTGAGCCACACCTACACCGTCGTCTGAAGCATCAACGCAACAACCATCTATCATACAGCTGCAATCATCTCTCTCTCTGGAGCCTAGCGATTACCACCAAGACGCCGCGTCGACAGTCTGTGCAGGCAATATCACCATCACTACTACTACCCACCACCACCAGCGCTACTACCACTAACACCACCACCATCACCACAATCACACACCTCAACATTTATCATCTTAAAAAAAACAGCCTCAGAGCAACGAATACAAAACCAAGTGACTGTAATTTGTCCTTGAAAATACTGTTTTGTATTGTACTGTATTCTCATCTGTATTCCCATAGTCCCATCTGTTCCACGCTAACAGTTCAGTCACAGGTGGAGGTGTTCTCTGATTGGTCTTCTCTCTCTGGACACACTACAAAGGGGAGGAAACAAAGGAGTGAAAATAAAAAGAAAAGAAAAGAGAACCAAGATGGAGAGTGAGAGAGCTCCTTGAGGGACACCAGTGAGTGTCTGAGTGACTGCCAGGTGGTGAGTGACAAGGTGGGAGTTGGGGAGGAGAGGTGGCATTACGCTTGTCTTCACATATCATCATCACTGTCATCATCATCACCACTGTCATCATTAACATCCTCACCATCACAACCGTCAGCATCACTAACACCACCACCATCAATAATCATCATCATCATCATCAATCATCACAATTTCTAGTATCAGGTCAGATTCGCAAGAGCTTGTGTCTGAAGCAAGTTACAAATAGAGCGCCTTGTTGACGAGGGTGGCATGAAACTGTCGTGAAAACCCTCTCACAAAGTGTGAGTGAACATGATACAGTTGGTGCCTCATTCAGACTCGTGTCTAACAAGACACTGTTGAATACAATCTTGATCTATCAAAGAGAACCCTAAAAACTGTCAGGAAAGAACTTGTTGGTGAATTTAAAACAAACAGACAAGTGCAAACAGGCACTAGTCAATCCACTGTTTACCATAATGAGATATATCAAGTAAAACATGTATATGGAGCAAGTAACAAGATCAATAGATTAGAAGATGTTGTAACCGATAGACGAATGTTAGGATATAAGTACTTCTGGCAGTATGACGCTCATGTCGGTGTGAACAAAACTAAGTGTAAAATGTGATGCCTTTTAGGGACAGGTCCAAGCACACTGTGTGTGTGTGTGTGTGTGTGTGTGTGTGTGTGTGCATTGGCACCACACTTTATCTCTGATGCAAGATCGCTGATATATGCTACAACTGTATCCACAGTTTGCACCTAGTAGCTAAGTCGACTCCCATGTACAGAAATAACATTGCACTGGAAATGCTACCGTTCAGTGCCACAATATCCTGACAACTGGAGTCTGACAAACACCCTCTCTGACTTTACGTTGTAATCCTTTTTGCGACTGCCCCATCCAGGACTGACCTGACGAGCAATACCACGACTTGGGAGGAATAGTTCAGGATAGTTTAAAGTATGAGAGGAATCACAAGTTCTTTGGCACCGTGATGAACCTAATTTCTCTCTCAGGTCAGCTACGTGGGTGTGTGTGGGTGGGTGTGTGTGTGTGTGTGTGTTTTTTACCTGGCCACACGGAACACCTTTAAGGAGAAACAGTAAGTCATTATTAGTCTCTCGTGATATTAAGAGGAAACCCGTAACTATAACACCAGGTCATAGCAGGTAAAACAGGACAGTTTCTACGACAATTTCTACCTCTCATGCTTTCAGTTTCCAGTACAATGGCCTACTTTACTCTCGAGGGTTCCGCTGTTACTGCTTCCTTTGACTGAGTGTGTGAGAGTGACTGTGGTTAGGTTGTGTGCACCCCCCCAAAACTACCTCTTTGGTCTCCATCTCTTCTCTTGGTATTTTCTCCTCTCCTCAAATTCTCTCCTATTTCTCTTTTACTTTATCCCCAACATCCTGTACAAACACTTCTCATTTACTCTACTTTTCTCCTCCCTCACTTCCCATAAGAGCCCCAACTCACACTCTCTCTCTCTCTCTCTCTCTCTCTCTCTCTCTCTCTCTCTCTCTCTCTCTCAGAAAGGCAAGGGACAAAGACCGCCTCACCTTGCTTTCAGTAGGTGTGTTTAATCGTCGTCAGGTTCATTCCCGAGTTCTGCCTAATGTTTGTCCAATACTGCCAAGCGCTTATCCACCATTGTATCTTATCACGCAGTTGTACACACAGAGTAGGGTGGAGAACCGTGTGTTTTATTTCTCTCCGTCTCTGTCTCTCTCTTCCTTATCCCCTTTCTCTTCATCTGCCCCCTTTCTTTTTCCTTCTTTCTTTTACTTTTCCTTCTTTCACTAGTTTTCTTCCTTACCTCCTCCCCTCCTCTCTCTGTCTCTCTCTTTCTTTCTTTCTTTCTTCATCTTCCTTCTCTCGTTTTCTATCTTCTCCCCTCTATTTCCTTCAATCTCTTCCCCCCCACCCACCACCACCTCCTCATCATCTCCCTCCTCACTTCCCTTCCCTCCCTCCTCACCTATACATGTCACCGTATCAATAACATCATCAGAAAAACCTACACATTACCTCCTCCATCATCATAAGAGATATTAAAAAGCTTCCCGAACGCAAATGAGGGATATTAAGAGACGTGATGCACCGCTAAACACCCATTATTATCTGAAAAAAATGGGGTAAAGAAATGGGGATAATGTGGTCTGCGATGAGGGGGAAGAGGTGGGAGAGAGGTGCGGGAGGAGATGGTGCGGGAGGAGATGGTATTGGTGGTAGAGGAAGAAGAGGAGGAGGTAGTAGGAGAGCAGGAGGTAAAGATAGATGTAAGGACACGGTTTCATACACACACGGCAAGTCATTGTATGATGATCAACCTCAGGATGTATTATCAGGGGAGGATGTTTTCACGGACTCTTTTAAGTCAAGGAAGTGTGGTGGTGTGGTCATAAAGGAAGTGTGGTGGTGTGGTGGTGAAGGAGGTGTGGTGGTGAAGGAGGTGTGGTGGTGAAGGAGGTGTGGTGGTGAAGGAGGTGTGGTGGTGTGGTCATGCAGGATGTGTGGGGGTGTGGTCATGAAGGATGTGTGGGGGTGTGGTAGACCAGATGGTGTGTCATCGCTTTGTCACGCTTAACCAACTTATTTCACTTGATTATAAACAATAACGGTAACCTAACCTAATGTAACAATCTAATATAAACCTAACCTAACCACCAGGTAGCGTTAGAGTGGTTAATAATAATCACTGTCACAGCTTATAATCCTTAGTCACTGTCACAACCTCACTGTCAAGCATCACTGTCACTTGTCTCTGTCGAATTCAACGCACGCTTACATCCTGACGAACCCAATGGACTGACGACAACCATCCCTAACTTCCTTCTTGCTTCACGACACCGACTCTCTCTCTCTCTCTCTCTCTCTCTCTCTCTCTCTCTCTCTCTCTCTCTCTCTCTCAGAAAAATGATCTGAAGTTAACAAGACATAAGTTGTGTGCTGCCATCTATTGAGGATAACATGTTATATCTCTCCACATTCTGTATATATTAATCATCATATAAATTTAATACACCAGACCACGTAACACGTCTGCTCACAACCAGAGAGAGAGAGAGAGAGAGAGAGAGAGAGAGAGAGAGAGATTGTAAGGACACATTTTCCAACACTAATTCAAGACTCAATCACGACACATCAAATCAAGTTCACATTTGAAAACTTTTGACAAAATTATTTATGATATTTTGTACAAGTTCACAGATATTAGGAACGACGAATACATATAAAACGTAAAAAGAAAAAAATCTATTAATAATTATCAAACAAAATTACATTCGTTGCCTAAAGACAGAAAAATAAAAGCAAAACAACATACACACAGACACTTTACCTGAG